TTACCTCTGGATCACCAACGAGAAGTTCTGGAGAATGTTGAATCTTGACAATTTCCCGTTCCCATAAAAACTTCGGTCCAGTGAGCCAGTTTGAGTCAACCAAGTCTGCCACCTTGAGACCCCTAGACGCATGGTCTGCTGGATTTTGATCTGTTTCAATGTAGAACCATTGTCTTGGATCTGTAGTGTCTCTTATTTTCTGGACGCAATTGGCAACAAAAACATGAAAGCGCCGAGCTTCATTTTTAATGTACCCGAGCACCACCTGTGAATCTGTCCAGAAAAACTCTTCATCTATCTTCAGCTCAAGCTCTGTTCTGAGGAAGTTGCTTACTCCAGCAGAAACTGCAGCTGCAGTGAGCTCAAGGCGTGGGATGGTGACAATGTTTGTGGGGGCCACTCGGGCCTCACCCATGACCAGTGCACAATGTATTTGTTCGTCGGCAACAATCCTGATATATGAACATTGTCCATAACCACTGCTGCTTGCATCAGAAAAATGATGTAGCTCCATCTTTTGGATTGTACCGTGATTCTCAGGAATGAGACATCTTGGTATTTGAATTTTTTGAAGATTTTTCAGGTCACAGAGCCATGTTTCCCATTTGGTCTTGAGTGCAGGGGGAACAGGCTCGTCCCATCCAACACCACGCTTGCACATTTCTTGCAGCACTTGTTTTCCGTACAAGATGTAGGGAGAGAGAAATCCTAGTGGATCATACACACTTGCCACTGTTGCTAGGATTCCTCGTCGTGTGGCTGGCTTTTCTTTGAGGACGACGCTGAATGAGAACACATCAGCATCTAGAGTCCACTTTACTCCAAGTACACTCTGCATTGGAACCTCATTGTAGCTGAGATTTACATCTTTCCTGTCACTCTTTCCGTCTCTGGAATGGCATCCAGGACCTCTCTGTTGTTGCACACAAATTTGTGTAAGCGCAGTTTTTCTTTGACACAAATTTCTTGTGCTTCATTGACCAGCTGTTTTGCATGGTCAACTGAATCCACGCTGATGAGCCCATCATCCACATAGAAATGTTTGCGAATGAAGCTGGCTGCCAAAGGGTAGTCTTTTTCATATTCACTGGCGAGATGTTTCATGCCATAGTTGGCACATCCTGGAGAAGATGCCGCTCCAAAAATATGCACCCGCATGCGATATTCCTTGGGCTCAGTGTCTGTGTTCCCATCTTTCCACCACAGGAACCTTATGAAATCACGATCTTCTTGGCTAACATGGAAGCGGTGGAACATTTTCTCCACATCGCACATGATTGCGATTTGACCTTGGCGAAATCTACACAACACTCCAGCCAGAGCATTGGTCAAATCCGGTCCTGTCAGTAGGTGGTCGTTAAGAGAGGTGCCTTCAAATCTGGCAGAGCAGTCAAAGACAACTCTAATTTTCTCTGGCTTCCTTGGGTGGTACACTCCATGGTGAGGAATGTACCATGTATTACCCTCCTGTATAACGTACCGGTTCCAGCGGGTTGTTGCCCAGTCAGGAAGTTTCAGTAATAATTTCTGATTTTCCTCACAATCATCTAAAACCCTGAGACCTTGCACATGGGGAATGGCATTCTTACATGAGATGAGGAAATCACTGAACTCTCTTAATTTAAGAGATTCTTTTGGTCCAATCTTTGGCCAGCTGCTCAGTTTTCCCCGGAAAGCTCTTTGAACTACAAAGGGGTGGCCATAGCGTTTGTTCAGAGCATCCCAAGCCTGTGCATACGCTTCCTCATCACTCCGATAAAATGTTCCTTCTAACACACAAAGTGCTTCTCCACTTATGTATTTTTTCAAATAGAACAACTTATGTGCTGGATCTGTACAACTTGTCTCAATTAGAGCCTTAAAGCAGGTGCTCCACTCTGTGAATTTGAGAGGGTCTCCTGTAAACATAAACGGCTCTGGTGCTGGAAGTCTAGTCATTGCCAGGGATTCTTTCAATGCTTGGACTAGCGAGGCTTCGCTTTCCTTTTGCTCTAGTTTCCTGTCAGAGTAGTGAGGAACTGGAAAACTCTGGGGAATCTGGTTTGATTTAACTTTAGAGCAAGGAAGGGCTGTTGAGCTTTGGGGAACTTGGGTGCATGGAGCGCTGTTGTGCTGCATTGGAAACTGACTTACAAACAAAGTACTTTTTACTTCAATATCTCTTATTTCAGCATTCAATTTTGAATATGCATTGTTGGTTCACAGAAATAGTTATTTGTGAAGACAAAACTATACATTTAATATTTGCTGTCAAGCGTTTGTTATGTTTGGAGACTGATAGCAAAGTTATATTGTTTAGTCAGTCATTTGTAGCTGTTCCCTGTGTATTGCAGGAAGTAAGCACAGTTGTATCGCAAAGCAGCACTATATGCCGATTCTCATACAAGACTGTCTTTCTGTTGTGTTTGCAGTTACGAATGCTGTGAATAAAAACACCTTTCTTATGGAACCCACATTGTAATAATACAATAATTCAGTGTGCGTAACAGATGCACCACTTAAAACTGGAGCAAAGAATGTCGGACGCACATTCTACAATTCACTTAGCAGACGCTTTTATCCAAAGCAACGTACATCAGAGAGTAAATACAACACAAGCAAGGATCTAGAAAAAAAGGGAACAATGTCAGTAAGAGCAAACGATCAGCTTTGAGTCTGATTGGACACGCAGGTGCTGACAGGCATTGCACAGAGGCAAAGCACAACATTGACGGCAGTTCTTGAGAGCTCTAATCAGTATAGAAATCATCTTATAAGTCGTCCTTATCAAACAAAAACCATCGTCACTACCATCATCATCATCCATTATATCGAGACCATCATCATTAAGTTAGTAGGTATTCATTAAAGAGCTGGGTCTTTAGTTTTTTCTTAAAGGTGCAGAAGGACTCTGCAGATCGAATGGAGTATGGAATTTCATTCCACCACCGGTGGGCAACAGAGGAGAAGAGTCTAGTCAGCGTCTTAGGACCCTTTTGTGAAGGTTGGATCAGACGCCTTTCATTTGCAGAGCGTAGTGGGCGGGAGGGAGTGTAGACCTGATGAGAGAGTTAAAGTATGGAGGAGTCGTTTTTGACGCTGTTTTGTAAGCGAGCAGCAGAGTTCTAAATTTGATCCGAGCAGTAACTGGGAGCCAGTGTAAGGAGATGAACAGCGGAGTGACGTGCTCGTTTAGGAAGGTTGAAGACCAGTCATGCTGTTGCATTTTGTATCATCTGCAGGGGTTTGATAGTGCATGTAGAAAGACCTGCCAGTAGAGAGTTGCAATAATCAATGTGTGATATCACAAGAGCCTGTACCAGGAGCTATGTAGTATGTTCTGACAGGTAAGGTCTGATCTTCCTGATGTTATACAGGGCAAATCGACATGACCGGGCAATCGAGGCTACTTGAACCTTAAAAGTTAGCTGGTCATCAATCATGACACCTAGGTTCCGGGCAGACTTTGTGGGCATGAGTTTGGTTGTTCCAAGCTGGATATTGATCTGTGGTTGCATAGAGGACTGGCTGGGATAACAAGGAGCTCAGTCTTTGAAAGATTGAGTTGAAGGTGGCGTTCATTCATCCATTTAGAGATATCAGCAAGGCATGACGAGATTCTTGCTGAGACTGAGACCACATCGTCTGGCGGGAATGACAGGAAGAGCTGGGTATCGTCAGCATAGCAGTGGTATGAGAAAGCCATGAGAGCGGATTATTGAACCAAGTGAGCTTGTGTATATGGAGAAGAGAATGGGACCAAGCACTGACCTTTGAGGTACCCCTGTGGATAAACTGTGCGCTTTGGACACTTCTCCCTTCCACGACACTCTAAAGGATCGCCCAGAGAGGTAGGACACGAACCAGCAGAGGGCAGATCCTGAGATGCCAAGTTCAGAGAGCGTGGATAGGAATGTTTTGCCAAATCCAAACCTTGCCAGAGTTTCAAATAGGTAGTTCCACTCTACTCTATCAAAGGCCTTCTCTGCATCCATGCAGAGAAGACATTCTGAGAAACCCTGACAGGGAGAATACATAATGTTGAACAACCGTTGGATATTGAAGAAGGAGTGTCTTTGTTTGATGAGCGTCTTTGTTTGACCTGTCTGGTCTGTAGATATTACACTGGGAAAAACATCATCCAGGCGACAAGCCAAAACCTTAGCTTTTGTTTTGTAATCGGTATTTAACAGGGAGATAGGCCTATAAGATCCACAATCTAATGGGTCTTTGTTCTTTTTTGCCAATAATGTTATAGATGCTTGGTTTAGAGTAGATGGGAGAACTCCTAATCCCAGCGAATCTGAAAACATGGCTGACAGGATAGGGGTTAACTGTGTAGAGAATGTGGCATAAAATTCACTCTGCAAGCCATCTGGGCCTGGTGATTTCCCAGTTCGAAGAGATTTAATGGCTTCCATGATTAATTGTTGTGTGATTGGCTTGTCAAGATCAGAAACCTCTGGGGATCAGGGGAAAGGGGTGGAATATTTAGGCCCCTAAAAAAGTCCTGCATGGCATCAGGGTTAGGAGAGCTAGAAGTGTACAATTTGAAATAGTAATCCTTAGAAAATATTAATTTCTTGTTGGTTTGTAGTAATGGGTTTGGGTGAGTCCTGATTACACTAGGATATAATTGTGGGCAGCAAGAAGCGTGACTAGTGTAGGAATCCTGCAGTGAAACCAACTTTAAAGCTGATTGGCTAACTCAAGTTTGACCACATTATTCCAAACTATGATTGGCTACCTGTCCAGTCCAGAGAAGGTCCTTAGGTCAGATCAGCCTTCTGTTTGCAAGCCTGTATTATGTGTATTAGTAAAAGACTGCATAAACCTCAGAGGCAGTGATAAAAAGTAGTTATGGTGTCATTCTTTATTGTGGTGATTATCCATTAATATTTAAATGTTGACACAATGAATTAACAAACTGGGTTATTTTTGCAGAGGTAGTTAAATTGGAAACCAGCATTGTGGCCAAAAATGAAAAAAATATTATAAGTAAATCTATTTTCTATATTTAGACTTTTTCCAGTCTTAAAACCGATGGAAAAATGCCATTTAGCAAGTGCAAAGATGCTGACTCTGGACAACAGCGTGGATGAAAGCCTCAACCTCGGGTAAGGCCTCTTAGATCTTTTCTTCAACTAGCATGTGATCACAGTTGTGTTTCGCCACGCAAACCAGTAGTGCCATCATTTCAATTCACATCTTAACACCAGCATGCTGAGAAGCAGACATATCACAAGACAAGTGGGCACTGAATAACTGCAGGAAGTCTGTTGTGTATGTGTGCTGCTGTCTGAAAACTCTTGAAAAATAGATTTTGAACTCAAGTTTCTTCCCTGGTTAAATAAAGTTCATGATATGTGTGTGTTCTGATGATTGGTGTTAGTGCCACTTGTTTGCAATCTTGAGTTCAATGACTGAACCAGCAAGTAAAATACACATTATGTTGCTACTTAACAATGTGAATCAGAATTAGACAAACTTGCTAGAACAGTAATTGTAATGGTTAGTTATTGAATATCATTGGGACAGTGCACACATAGGTGTTGTGCAGCCCTGGCTGTGCCCGTTAAGCTTAGTAGAACGACAGCAGTCCTTTAATTCATCACTTAGTTTGTTGAAGTTTGCAGACGACACCACCGTCATCGGTCTCATCGGGGATGAGTCGGCTTACAGACAGGAGGAAAGAGCTAGCCTTTTGATGTGATCAGAACCATCTGGAGCTGAACCCGCACATGCACTGCTCTGTGTATTTACAGACCATTTGAACACATTAACAGCTTTGGTGTTATTACATTATATACCAAAAACATTGCCGAATAAATTGTGTAGATGAGACTGCAATTTGTTTGATTCTGCTTCATAAGCAACTGGAAGACATACAATTGAACATACTTAAACTAATAACTTTTACAGTTAAAAGTTGTGTTCATTTTTACAATACATTTTACAGATGTACATCACAAAGTGCTTAACAAGCGTTTTATGACATGGCATGTTTCAAGGTGCAAGGGTGCCTCTTTTCCTCATCCGTATATCCGGTACCTGTTGAGCTGAGCTACATGTCAGCAAATAAAGGCTTGAAAAGGTGTATTGAACAAAGAGTATTGTTTGAGCTAGTTTATTTTTTATTTTTAAACGTTAAAGACGCACTGATTAGAGAATCACTAAAAATGTCTCAAACAGAATCACATCCTTGCCAACTAAATTACATTTTAATGAAACATTCTTTCTGTGTTTAAGCGCCAGACTTGATGTGCAAACATGCACACCATGGAGGGCTCCCATCATCTGGGATGGGATGTTTATCTCTGAGATTTGGGACCAGAGGCACCAGACAGAAGGAGCCTCTGTGGCTTTAACAGTGTTTGCAGTTGGCAGGTTTGTTAACATATAAAAAACACATCCTGCTCTGCCGACTAACATGTATTTAGTGCATTCATATTCAACTGCTGTAGTTACTTAGATTAAAAAACAAACAAACAACTCATCTTTTTATCTCTTATTCTGCCAAAGGTACCTGGATGCTTACCTCTGGGACTTCCTGAACTCGTCGGAGCATTACTTTATGTTGGGTTTGCCTGTCATATATTATGTATTTACGGACATGCCACAAAAGGTTCCTGACATCAAGCTTCCTCATCTGCGAACCATGAGAATCATCAACGTGAAGAGGCACTCCAGGTGGCAGGACATCTCAATGATGCGAATGAAGACGATAGCAGACACCATTGAGTCCGATATCCGCCACCACTCTACTCACGTTTTCTGCTTTGATGTGGATCAGGTGTTCACAGGGAGATTTGGCTCAGAGGCTCTGGGAGATTCCGTGGCACTCCTCCATGCCTACTTTTACCACCTTCCAAAAGAGAGGTTTACTTATGACCGTAACCCCAAGTCCAAGGCGTACATGGAAACCGGGGATTTCTACTATCACGCTGCTGTATTTGGAGGCTCGTGGAAGAGTGTAAAGGCATTGACTGAGGCATGCTATCAGAGCATCATGGAGGATAAAAAAAATAATGTGGAGGCTCTTTGGCACGATGAGAGCCATCTCAACAAGTACCTATGGCTTCACAAACCCAGCAGGGTGCTCTCTCCAGAGTACGGCTGGGACCCTAGTATTGGCTACATGAATGACATACAAGTCACTCGACTACTGTGGGCACCAAAACAATACGAGAAACTGCGTGTTCCCTAATGTGTTGTTGGAGTGAAGAACAATATCACCTGCTATTCGTAATGGAATACTATATCCAGTGAAGTGGGATATATAGTGTTTACATTTTTCCCATATCCCAGCTGACATTCAATCATTCCCAGAAAATGTTTATCAAGCTTATAATACTTCCAATTGTTTCTGCCCCTGCCAGTAACAAGTCCACTAGAACAGGGGTTGTCAGACTTTTTTAGACCATGGACCCCTTTCAGGGGAGTCATTTTTCCAAGGACCCCCGCATTATCGTAACATTGATAAGCATATATTAATACTATGTATTAATGTACTATGTAGGTACTTTGCAATGATAGAATTAGGCTACATTTATACTTTCTAAGTAATTCATTTTATAAACTTTGAGAAAATGAACATTGCAAGATTGACATAGTCTTAATTTTAATCCAGAAATGTTGTCATGTATTCTAAAACTGACTTTCAGTAAGTGATTTAACTTTAAAGATGAATTATTTGCTCTTTATTCAAATCAATGGTAGGAATCTCTGAACAAACCACATAATTTATTTAACAGTGTCTCAAAACACACATTAAGCCTTATCAAAGAAGATTTCAATTTAAATATTTACATTACTCATATTTTTATGTCATACAATTCACAAATATTCCACGGGACCCCCTCTTTGAGAATCAAGATTTACTTTAGTGATCCCTGCAAGGGAAAATTTCTTTTTTTACACTCTGTAAGTCATGCTATACACACACAGGCTGGAATATACTCATGCACATGGGAATGTGCTATTGGAGAGATGCCAGAGTGAGGGAGCTCCAGCTATCTCCAGATTGTTAATTTGTTTAATATAACCATCGTGATTTTGATATATTTAAATTGTGAACTTGTGTTCTTTAGTACCTTAAAGTCTGTTCATTTTATGAAGAGTTGAGTTGTTAACTGACTGTCTGAATGTAAATGTATTTGTTTATCCCACTCCAGTCCTTCCTTATCTGGGCTACTGCCAGCTGGGAACTTTCAATTTGTTTAAAATTTCCATTGTGATTGTTAAGAAAGATGTCTAAACAGAACATAGGCCTTCTACGTAAGAGAGAAATGTTGTTATTGACCCTGAACTTGATCCAAGTTCAGGGTCTATTCCAATCCATTTAGATAGACAAAGGTCTGAACAGGAGGGCGACCTGGTTCTTATTTGATCTGCTCGTCTGAAAGTAATGATTTTTCCGAATGAAGCCACACCTTAAGCCATAGTATCTTTCAAGGAAATTTTCACCCATGCCTCTTCACTAATTTCCAATTTCAACTCCACCTCCCATTTATTTATTTTTTTACGTGAAAGTTGTTTTCCATACCTGATAATGCTTTATATAGCCGGGAAACAGGTCTCTTTAGGTGTTTTGTTTCTTGAATTTTGATCAGGTATTGTTCAATTAGGGAGCCACCTTTCTGCAGGTTGGTCCAGTTAGCGCGTGTAAGCAGAAAACTTCTTATCTGTAGATATCTGAAGAAGTCCAATCTTGGTAGGTTAAAATCATTACATAACTTTTGAAATGTTTTGACTTCTGGGCCTCCCATAATCTGATGAACAAAGCAGAGGTTGAGGTTCCTCCATGTTTTATATCCAACATCCAGTTCAACATCCAACAACATTTTTTAGATAACCAATACTTGATAATGTTGATATCTCCCTAGGAAGACTGAAAGTTTGTTGGACCTCCCTCAACGCAAAAAGAGTTGTTTTTGACCATCTACCCAGAAATTCTTCCATCGTTTTACTTTCAGAGAATGGAATGTTTGCCAATGGTATTCTCAATATTAAGCCACCTTGTATCCACACTGTCTGAAATCCAGACGGTCAGAGCTCTTAATTGGCAGGCCAACCAATAGTGCCTGAGCTGAGGAGGTTCCCGCCCTCCTTGTTGTTTGGACAGCTGTAAAACTTTATATCTGACTCGTGGGCGCCTTCCCTGCCAAACAAACCTTGAAATAAGGCGATCTACAATTGTAAACATATTTTTTGGTGGTATAAGAGGCAGGCTTGAAAATAGAAATAACATCTGAGGTAAAACATTCATCTTAATACATTGTCTCGATGAAGTATGCAAGGCCTTCCCTGAGGAAGATGTTGTCCACTTGGCAGCATATTTTGTGCCAAAACCTTTGTATATCATCCAGCATTAATCTATCAAGGATAGCTGGCTTTTGAACGATGCACTGATAACAAGCTGTTTGGTCCCTCATCTCTTTAGAGAACAGAATGTCCATGGTTTCCAAACACAATGTTAAATTTTGACTCCTCAGATCAAAGGACTGTTTTACACTTTGCCTCAGTCCATTTAAAAATATATATTCATTTGGGGGCTTTTTATGCCTTTATTGTAGAGATAGGACAGTGGGAAGAGTTGGAAATCAGGGACAGAGAGAGTGGGGAATAACATGCGGGGAAAAGAGCCACAGTCAAATTTGAACCTGGACCGCCTGTTGTGAGGACTACAACTTCTGTATATGAGGCGCACGCCCTAATCACTCGCCCACTGGCGCCCCAGCTTCAGTCCAACACTGACCCAGAGAACGCGGCAGCATTTCTTGATCTGACTTTCATTCAGCTAGCATTTGCTAATTCAGAGATGAACTGTGTTAAAAGACAAGAGATTTTAAGGGTGTTCTTGAGTCCATTCAGTGACGCCCATTGCACACTACAGAATTGCATGTTTTTAACACAGCGCCCTCTGGAGGCCTGAAGATCACAGCCATCCAATATTGATTTTCTGCCTTGTACCTTGCTGAAAGAGATTTTCCTGGGATGCTATTCATCAGTCATGTTACTAAACTGTTGAAATCGAGCTTATTGTAATATAAGATGTCCCACCAGATCTTTTCTTATAGCATTTCACAACTTTCCCTGTCTTTTGTTAACACTTTCCCAACTTTTTTGGAAATGTGATTGTATAATATTTAGCCACATCAGCTGTCTAAAAATATTCAGGTTTCACAGTAATGCTGTTGGTTGTGTATTGATGTGAGGCCAATCTTTTTCTATCCTAACACACAATGATTGTTTGAAATGGAAGGAAGGGTTATTACTGACGAGCTGCTTTAACATCCAGCTGACTGATTTGTACACACTTATTCAAAATTAGTAGCTAAAATTTGTTAATGGACTTTGTTTGGAAATATGTCAAGATATAGTAGATGAATAATTAAGGAGATGTCTCGTGTCCCATTTAAATGTTTAAAGGCCAACAAGGCAACCAGCCATGCATGCTATGAGGTCAAAATGACAACTTTTGAGGTTAAGACAAATTTAGAGTTCAATGTTCAAACAGTGAATATTGTGCAAAGCGCCTCATTTTCATTTGTACGAGGAAAGAAACATGAAAAGAGAGTGTAGAGATAGAACTCATGATAGATACCTCTATGGTTTTGTGGCGAACGTAATGATGGAAAGTGTTGCAGTTAGGTTGTGCGTGGAAGATTTTTTTCCTGCTTGGGGAAAAAGCAAATGTAACAACGGTTTTAGTTAGAGGAGGTTTAAGCTCTTCAAAAAATTATGTCAAGCTCTAGTTTTTCCACTCAGATCTGGGAAGTTCCAGAGAAATGTTATGCTTAGCATGAACTTGAAATCATAATGTAAGAGAGAGGAAGAGAGAGGGAAACATTTTTGTTGTGTTCTTTTTTTTAATCAAAAATATAATAATGTCTGTACAGTTGATATATGTTGTATACAGAAGTCTTAGGAACACGTACTGTCTGAACTGCTGAGGCTGGCTGAGGGAATGAGTTGTTCTGAGAGGCTCTGAGTGGAGGTCAGATTCAGGTAGCCCATCTCCGACGATCGAGACAGGGGTCCAGAGAGGACACATCGAGGGGAGGAAGTTCTGTCTGGCTGCTTACTCTGAGTATTTTCAAACAAGCCCTGAACTTCAGATGGCTCAGGGGTTATCACACTAGGGATGAAATCAAAAGGGAGTTTTATTGTGATTCAATAAGCAGGTAAAAACATTAAGAGAGTGCTTAATTGTTGTCAGACCTACCGTGATGTTTCCAAATGGAGAGATTTTATAACGTGCATACTGTTACGTCTTTTCTTCAGCTCCTAATTGGACAAAACAGGATGTTGTGTTTGATTATTTTTGTCATCCTCTTTTAGACTGTGTGTCTGTGCAGGAACACTCTCACTACAAAGATCAATATACAATCCTATGAAACAAAAGCTAAGAGCAAACCTGAGCTGTGCCCACTTTTAACGACTTTTGTACTCTTGATTATCAAGATGTTTTTTGTATTGGTGATTGTAGTCAAGAACACACTAACCGAGACCAAGACATGCACAAGACCAGATAGCTCTGAGACCAAGACGAGACCAAGACATTTAGGGGTCGAGACAGAGACAAGACCATGAATATCAATGAAAAATCATCATCTAGTGTGCAGCATGCATGTCACTCACTTAGACTGTCACACTGGAAAGGTTGTGGCAATAATTTGGGGGGTAAACTACAAATCAATTTAAGTTATTTTGTTCTTTAACGGCGGGGCATTTCCCATCTAATCACAGTAATGACTTGGAAAAATAGCCTTTCAGTGGTGGTCTTGATTTAGAATATAGAGTCTGCCCAGTCTGAGACAGAGACAAGGCCGAGTTAAAGCGCTTTCATATTTCGAGACGAGACCAAGACCTTCAAAAAGTGGTCTCGAGATCAAGGGTGATTTCCAGTACCCCAACACTAATTGGTGAATACAGGAATTTGTATTTACATATCTATAGCGTATTTTAGTTTTGTTTGTTTTTACTGAATTAACTCAAAGTTGGATATTTGGAAAAAACAAACAAACAAAAAAAAACACTACATGTAAAGTCCAACTAGTGACAAGAGGTCAAATGCAGCAGTAGCTCCCAGCTCCTGGACCAAAACATCAGGTTGATGTTCAGTGTTTGAATGTTAGTTTGCATTGTATTTATCAAACTAAATGAACATTCAAGTTCATACACAAGGTTGTTGGCACAGAATTTGAGTTGTGTACCTACAGTAGCTAGAAAAAACATTTGATCCTAACCCAAACCCAGTACCTCCGTTAGGTGAGGAGACTTCAGGATTTGCAGGCTGCGTTCCAGGGCGATGAGCTGATTGGACATTTGGAGTATTTTGTTTCCAAGTTTCTTGTTTTCCATCTCTAGAAAATCAACCCTGAGATAAAAACAGACATCACATGAGTTCATTTTGGGCAGTTATTTAGTGAATACATATACTTCCGTTCTATCCTTTGAGCTAAATGTTCATGCACTACACAAGTTCAGTACCTGCATTTGGACAGAGACGCTTTTAAGTGACAGTCTTTCTTGTTGTGTTCCTCCTCATTCAGTTGTTGTTGTAGTAGTCTTCTCCTCTCAACAAGCAGTTTGTCATTTTCCACAGTTATATTTATGATGAGCTCTTTTTCCTGGTAAAGATTAATGACACGACTGGTAAAAATCTATTTGAGTTTATGTCGTCATAATTTTCTTTGTTTGTCATCTAATTTCTTTAACAACATTTGTAGAGCAAGACCTGTGTCAATACAGATATTACTCATAATAACTTAAAGATGCCAATGTCATAGTCTAAGTTTTTCCATGTTATTCTGCTACATTCTGTTTAAAATGTATTCAAATATACAACAGTGAAAACATCCTGTGTTGTTGTTTCAAGTGGTATGAAGCTGTTCACCTTAGCCAATGAATGGGAACACAAAGAAAGCTCGCACCCTAGACTACTGATTCTTTCATCACGCCATGCGGTTTCTTCATCTAGTTTCCGTTTAGCTCGAAGCAGCTTCATCTTTTGTTTCTCCTTCATCTCGTGGTATTTACTGTAAGAAGAATGACAGAAATAACACAAGGGTTTAACAGGATGATTTACGTGTGGCACCAAACTTTTTTTTTCAGATTTTACAATAAATACGTTATAACTATGAAGTGACATGGTTATATGTTGTTCTACCCTACGTTTTCAAAGTCCTCTGTGAATTGTTTTAAAGTTATTTGAAAATGATTCATGCATAATTCCAAAATAAAAAATTCTAAAATAAGTTTAATGTAAAAAGAGGAAATATAAGTTCTGTCAAGAATGTTCAATATTCAAGAAGCAATATGTAGGATATCTACTGATTGAAATCATAAAATGACCTTACTATATCATGTGACATTAAGGAAACATGCTATGTTGAAGTGCTGGTTTCTCTGTCAGCAATGCAGCAGCCAGTACCTTCTCCTTCTTAGTTTAGAATCAGGTCCAGAATGGTCTGTGTTTGCTTTGAACCAGAGAAAGGAGGCACCCTTCACTGCTATTTTCTCTCAGGTTGCCAGATATGAGACCAGTTAACACGGCAAACAAACAGGTGTTACAGCCAAGGAAGAAGGCCAGCAAACTGGTTCCAATATAATAATAATAACATTATGTATTTATATATATTGCAGAGCTGGTTAAACACTGAAGCTTCTGTGTCCTTGGCATGGCAACCAGCATGTGCATCGACTCTAGGGAGGAGGGGCGGGGGGAGAGAGCTCTCTTGTGTTTTCAATTTGGACTGTTCAAATTTATTTTTGGGGGCTTTTTATGCCTTTATTGAGAAATAGGACAGTAGATAGAGTCGGAAAATCAGGGAAAGAGAGAGAAAGTAGGGAATGACAGCAAAGGCTGCTTTGAGGACTGTAGTGTCTGTACATGGGGCGCAGCGTGCAAACTAACAACTAGCCCACCGGTGCCCACCAAATTGGCTTTTTTACTTGCATTAAGTTTCCATCAAATATAAACTGAGAAGAGTTTTTCAGCTGCCAGTAACATCATAGGACTTCTTACCTCCGCTCTTTGTCAAGGCATTTAAGGGTTTCACAGATTTCCTTTCTGAGCCTCTCACACTCATCTTGAGTGGCAACCAGAGTCTTCACTGCCTCCTGAAATCCGGGCAAGTCCTGCGGGCATAAGTACAAACAATCAGCAGTCTTACAAGGAACTTCTTCTTGTTATTCAATACATACTCAAACAAACATCACAGTTAACCTTGTGTTTTGTGTTCTCCTTGTTTTGCAGCAGCAGTATTAGTCTCTGTCGCCCTTTATCCTTTGCTGAAAAGGAGTCTTCCAGTCTCCTGTGAGGGTTTTCATCATGATGTATATTAGCCTCTTCCTGCTTCATGAGCCTTGAACACGCACATAGACATACAATGAAACTATTACTTGACTATGTAATACTGCCAACATCAAGAGTTTGCACAAGTTACTGGATGTTGTCAGGGGATATAATATCCTACCTGTTATCCTGAAGATGTTTTTCTTCTGTGGAAATGGCAGCTATAATGTTATCCATTTCTTTGTGTGAATCATCCAGCTGCTGCTTAAGGCTTTGTATCTAAAAGTGGTAAGAAAAACATTTAATGAAAAAGATGCAGCGGTCACGGATAGCAGAGAGTATCTACCGATGAATTTGTCTCTGAATAATCTTTAAACATGTAAAATCACTCACTTCTGACTCCTTTTCCAAAAGCCATCTGGACTGAGCGCTTAGCTTGTTTTGTAAATCTTTGCATATCTCATTGCTCTGAATCAAATCAGTTGCCTGTGACTGAAAAAAACTGCATCATCAATGTTCAGACATGTTACTCTCACAACATCACTGGATCATTCAAGTTTGCTGAAACAGATGAGTGTGACACTGTGTTTAATACCAATTAGATTCCCTTAAAATATGTCGTAAGTAAAACGTAATTTACTTTACAGAGTGATTAGCTTGTTTTGTAAATCTTTGCATATCTCATTGCTCTGAATCAAATCAGTTGCCTGTGACTGAAAAAAACTGCATCATCAATGTTCAGACATGTTAGTCTCACAACATCACTGGATCATTCAAGTTTGCTGAAACAGATGAGTGTGACACTGTGTTTAATACCAATTAGATTCCCTTAAAATATGTCGTAAGTAAAACGTAATTTACTTTACAGAGTGATTAATGCAGATACAAATTTACCCACTGTGTTGAACTTCAATTTTTGGGTAAGCAGATGTTGTCTTCTCATGTAATGTCAGAATATTTGTTCTGTAAGACTTACTTGAGCTAACTTGTTAGCTTGGATGGCCTGAGCCTGCACAGTGAGGAGTTTCTGCTCAGCCTGCTGCTGATGCTCCTGCAGGGCTGACTCAAGCTGCTCCACACCCCTCTGCAGAGAAATAATCAGTGAAACATGAAACGCACACAGATCACATTAGTTCAGCACAGGATCCACATTAATAATGCACTTCTGACATTTGACTGATAGAAATGTTTAAAGACAGGGTTGGTAATTTTCGAAAAACTAGCATGATTTTGAAAGTAGCATTCCCTCAGTCTGCCTTTAAATTTAATAACAATAAAGGCACCACTGCTTCTGAAATGTGAAATATTCAACTCAGACAACAAACATACAGGCATCATTAAGAGTTAATGAAACACTACATTTAAAAAAAAGCTGTAATCATGTGGTACTAAATGCAGTGATTCAGCCTGTACATCAAACATTTCAGTCCTACTGTAAGGGTCTTGTCTCTAGCTGTAAACCTTAAAAACCTTCACCAAGGTTTTTTTTTTCCACTGGCATGGCTTAAGCAGACAAACAGCATGCTCCAAAGACATGTAGGTGACACATCACGAAAACAAGACACTATAAGAAAAAAAAGTTTCTTACAGGATGAGACTAGATTCCCAACAATTGGAGGATACTTCTTAATAAGTGAAGCAACATTAACTATAGTTAAGCAGTTCATTTGATGGTGAAAGAACGGAAATCAAGCTGGTAGTAGTTTCTGCAATTTTGAGGCCCTGACTTGCACTGTAAATCTTTGCATCACACTCTTTTATATAATACAAAGAGAAGGAAGTGGTTTTTGCGTGTGGTTATACAGTAAATGAAGGGTGACGAAAAGAGCAACAACCATATAGTGCAATGTTTTTAAAAGTAACCCTCCTTTACAAATAATGATGGTTTGCAACATTTCTGTATCATATCTTTTCAGTCTGAACAACTTCTTCTGTCAAACTGAGGAGAGAACAGAACACACAGTAGCTCTTGAACATACACGTTTGAGTAAAGGAGTTTAAAGAACAGTGCTAACTTCAGCCTGCTCGTGGTCCTGGCTGCCCTGAACCTGAAGAGTGAGAAGCTGCTGCTCAGCCTGCTGCTGCTCCTCCACGTCAGATTTCAGCCCCTCCACCTCCCTCTGAAGAGACACCACCTACAACAAACACAAATGACATATCAAATCATCAGTCTAAAACCTGATGATCAACGATTGAACTATACAAACAACATCTATTAATGCACTTCCATTAGTTTTTACATTACGCTCTCTCAAAGCATTTGCAATGTTCTCTGCCACACTATATTTGCAGGACAAAGAGGTTTTTCTTTCATGCTGCGTCTCAACTTTTAGATTAGTAAACAGGAAATCTATGTGGTCAACGGTAGTTTACCCACAGTCATATATCGTATCTAAAATGTACACAACAAAAACTGCAGATGCTGTGAAAGACACAAAGGACTCACACCTAACAAAGACCTGGGTGCGTGTGTGTGTGTGTGTGTGTGTGTGTGTGTGTGTGTGTCTTCCCCCCCTTCTCTCTCTCACACAGACACACACTCACACACACACACACACACACACACACACACACACACACACACACACACACACACACACACACACACACACACACACACACACACACACACACACACACCTCTTCCACAAGCCTTGCTTGATAATGTTTGTTGCTTAGATTAGTTTATAATAGTTATTTGTTTAATTAAGTTCATTGATTTTGGATTTATGTTGCTTGGTTTAAATAAATTCTGTTATAATTTAAGAGAGCAGTTGTTTGTGATTACTGGTTGCATTTGCATTGTGATATAAGCTGGGTGCGAAGGCTTTGTGTACGGATTTCACGCCTTCAATTTATTAAATATAGTTATTCATTATTAATAATATTAGTAATTAAATAACTAATTTGAGACTGATTTGAGTGATATTTTGGTTATATTTACCTGATTACAGGTTGGTGCCCCAAAACGAGATTAAACATAGTCTAATGATATTTTATTTTATATTATTAATAATTAAGTATAATTATTAAAGAATATAACCAAAGTTGACTTGATACAACCCCAACACCATATTACAGAAAATGGAATAGCAATAAAAAAGAGTATGCAGATTATTAAGCTATATGGAAAAAACTTCTCCCCCCCCCCGCAATTCTGATTCTAGTGTTTACTGATTTTAAAAACGTATTCCAGCCGGTATCTTACCTTCTGCTGCAGAGTGTTTTTCTCAGCATCCAGGGTTCGTACTCTACCCCTCAAGGCTCTGATTTCAAGGTCCAAACGATCGTTCAGCTCTTTTGTCTTTCGCAGTTCCACCATTTCTTTTAATATACAGTCAGATGATTCACTTTTACTGTTATAAATGATACATGTTCATTTTTGTTGCCACACATTTATCTTTGACATTTTGCTTGATTTGAAGTCTTCTGACATGATGCACAGTGAAAATAAAACACTGAGAATCAAAATGTAATTCTAGGTACATTTCAGGGTGCTTTTAAAATGGGTTAAAGAGAAATGTAAGTACTCTGGTGAAGAATTATAATACAGTTTTTTACCTCTGTTTGTGAAACAACAACTCAAAATCATATCCAAAAATTTGGGAAGTGATCACAAGAATAAATCATTCTTACCATATTTTTTGAGTTTTTCTACTTCCTGTCTGAGTTGCTCTACCTCCTGCTGTGCAGCCTGCAGCTCTGGCTCTAGAGAAGGACAAGAACACTTGTTTCTCCACAATGTTACAAGGTGACTAGACAAGTTTTCACTTCAATTTGAAAACATGGAAGGAGGTTGAAACATCAGTTTAGTTTACATTTGTTTTGGATATTATAAAATGGTAAAAAAAAAAAAAAAAACGCTACATAAATATGGCATTCATTAAAGAATCTTTAAAAGGTTTATGATGTTTAATTTTCTAGTCTTTTGTTAGGAAGCTAATTTCTACCTCTCACCATAAGCTCTTAGGGTCAAATGAGCAGACTCCAGCTCATCTGTCAAACGCCTGATCTCATTATGGGCCATAGCCAACCGGCGGGAGCCCTCCTCCAGGTCGCGCTCCAGACGGGAACATTCCCTCTGCACACTGTTTGTCTGGCTAGCCAAACACCTGGCTTCAGCCTGCAGAGAGGAAAGGGGGGAACTAACTCAACAACAAAGATTAAAGTGATTGCTGCACTCTGATAATAAATACTGACAATTAAACTCACAAGAATAGAAAAGCGACCTTGAGAAGTTCACTGGATGCATTACTCATGTAGTATCTTGAATTTCTTCCGCCATGCAAAGTGTCCTATAGCTCGTGCAGGTAAAAAGAGCTTTAAAACACTGGAGCAGAAAAAGAGGTTGCAGCTTATGTGGGTGATGCCCAACCAGAACATGCCCAAACAGAAAACAAGCAAAAAAGATCTTTACATTCAAACATGCAGCATAACTGACCTCAGTGCAGCTTTTAGTGTTGTTAATATGGATGCAGAGATGTTACTGAACATTAAAGGACGTACTGGAATAAAAGTATGTTTGCTCTGGGATGCTTTGTGTAGTCCAAAGAGTCTCTTCCATGGGTTCTGGTGATAATGTGGTGCCCCCTTGTGGGAAGACTGTGGAATAACGTTAAATCACAGAATCATAGTAGAGAGTCATTGGGCAATATGAATCTGACTTACTTATGATAAAATTAGAGAAGGTATTTAACAAACAAGGGATCAAGATCCTTTAAAAAAAAAAAAAGAAAAGTAAAATAGTTGCAAGAATGCATTTTGTTTTTTACAAACTTCTCTTTGGTGTTTATGACTGGCTATATAGATGTTATTGTGTGTTTATGTTGTTAAAAGCCCTCCCTCTAACCTGGTGTGTATTTGTGCTCTGCTGCTCAGCTTGGTCTTTGGTCTCCTCTGTGCCTCTGTGACCCTTCAGGTGGTCTGGGACCTCGCTGGTCTCGAGTAAAGAGGCTCTCTCCACCAGGAGGTAGGCCACCTGCTCACTGGGGCTGCTGTGAATCAACTCTGTGAGACCCTGCTGGTAGAGCATTTTAGCCACCTCGCTTATCTGGGCATCTATGACGACAGAGAAGAGAATTAATAATGTTGCCATAAGAAGTACAAGCACCTGCTTGACACAGTCATTGGTAGTTACAGATGTGTGTTGCCCCTTAAGGGAGGCTGTAGGAAGTTGATATGATGAACTGTTTGATGTTACTGATTACTACTGTAATTTTAGTTGTTCCAGGTAAACATCGACAACCTTGAAGGGATATTAGACGCCGGAGCTGGTCCTTGAGCTGATCATTTTCATCTTGTATCTCCTGAGCCAGAACATCTTTGTGCTCTGTAAAGATTCGAATCTGCTCCAAGGACTTGCGTACCTTACAAGCAGAAAGACAGAGAGACAACATCTCAGCCGCAGACCTTCATTTACTGTTGCTCCTTTTTGAATACTCCTGATACTACAAGTCATTTGAAACCAAAATAACGTACCTCTGTCAACTCTGCTGAGTGCTGTGAGCGCTGCTTGTCCAGATCCCATGTCACACTGCTCAGATGGCATTTTGTGTGCTGGAGGGCACGCCATAGCACACACAGCTGAACCTCCTTAGGGGAGTCAGGAGTGATTCCCTCCTCAGTAAGCCATATAGAGATCTGTTGTAGCTCCTCCTTGTGAAGATGATAAGTGGACATTTGTCACTGACAAACTATTCCCATCGAAGAAAGGTCTCGATACTTGCGTTGTCAGGTGAAATATTGTATGCAACATTGCCTTCAGTGTTTTATGAAAACATTGTGTAACTTTACTTTGTTATCATTTAGCCTACTGCAAGAGAAACATGTAGTACAAAATAGGCTGAGATAAAGTAAAAAAAAAAAATCTGAATCACTGTAAACAGTTCCAGTCCCCACTCTGAACTAGCCTGGGATAATACACATTTGGTTGTGATCCAAAGTGTTTGCGGAACCAAAGTTTGAGGAACAGCTGTTTCCTTACAGAGACAGCTGGCCTTGCCAACGTGTTTCTTACTTTTTTAACAGTGGTGTTCGAGTATCTGAATAACAAAACAAAATAGAGAACACTCTTTACTGTGCTTTAAAGCTCCATTATCTTAGTCAGTTAAGTTAATTTAGCCTATAGTTGCAGGCTCTGCTCCGACACTCAGAGAAACCCTCATACTGGTGACTTTATTTTAGATTCTAGTGAAGTTTCTCGACATGCAAACTCAACTTACAGAATAAAGCTACTAGAAAAATATGATTTAAAGGATGCATATGAAGTTTGACATAGGCTATGCATACTTGTGCAACAATAGAGAAAAGAAGAATAGGCTACACATTTGGTTACTCGTGGAATCAGAGCAATGATGTTGGGTGATAAAGCCAGAACTGAGATCATATTTTCTACAAAAAGGGGGCAAATATGTGAAGGAACAGAAGTCATAGCGGGCACGATTTGAAATGTGTCAGGGTTTGGATCAAGTTGAGGGATACAGCTAGTTTGAAAACAGATTAAACGAAACAAAAAGCAATGTAGTACCTCTGGTTGATCCATTTGTCCTCCCCTCCGGTGAGAAACTTTCTCCCGTGTTTTATTCTCGGAACACTACTTGGCACGGCACGGACGCAAAGACGTCCTCTCACGTTCCTGAACGCGTTGTTTAACGGTTAAACTGCAGCCTACGTAACAACCAGGGAACGCACGCACTCAACTCCCTATAAACGTCGGTATTTAATCGAAACTTTCACGCCCAAACTAACAATAGTGAGTGAAAGCATGATGTTGGCAGAGGCTGAAGGAGTGTTCACTTTAAATATTCTCTGCGGTTCCAGGAAAGTGGTGGTGAGAGTTTATTTTCTGTTGTTTTCTAGTAGCCTATAAAAAAAAGAAAAAAAAAAAAAAAAAAAAGGCTGCTCCTGCGCACTACGAGTCTGGCTTGTACAAGTGTCCTTGAAGGAGTCTTGTAGGACCGTTCAGGGTGTGAGCACCTAAAATTCATCAGTGAACCACCATACAAATAATATTGTGTTTGTTTTAGGTTAACATGTGACCCGATAAAGACGAAAATATGTCACTAACACTGGTATATTTCAATTTGCTTTAGTCAAGCCCCACTTCTAAAATAATTGGATAGCCAATATGGACAGCAAATCTTTGGATAACCATTATCTAATATCTATGCTATTTTACAGGCATCTATTTTGTCTGCAGCTTCAAGCGTCTGTCTTACAAAGAGTGTTCTTCCTAGAAATACCACCACAAGTTGTCATGGAGTGCAAATTGCTGTGCAACCAATACAACAAACGGTATGGAAATGTACCCAGTTGGGAGATTTTAATAAGCCCTACTCAACTTTTGCTCATATGACTTCACTGATTTGTGACGTTTTCTGTATTATTATTTTTAAAACTCATCGTATAGAATTTAATGTGTAGGCCTATACCCTATTTTCTTTTCCTTCCAGGGAGTAACACTAGACTTTGTTTTCATTGTAAACAGTGTCTTTTAATGAAACTTAATTTGTATGCCAATTGATGATCTTACTGATGTGTGTTGTATCTTGGGTGGTCTGAGATTTCCTGCACATTTACTGTGGGCAGTGTTTGGCTCTTGTTTCCTGCTGTTCAGTCGCCTAACCCTGGAAATAGTCTGGTGTCTTTTTGGGCTGCACAGTTGGATGAACAGCATGAGTACAGGGACAGAACTGGGAAATGTGGCTTTAATAATACAGCTTTTGAACATTTCTAGCCCACACATGTGTGGTACTGTTTGCTGTGAAAAATACGATTGAAATGTGTCATCTTGTTAGACCTTTAGTAGAGTTTCATGCTGGGCTTACAAATACATCACCTCTTCTTCATGTTCATGTTTTGTTGCAAATGTCATTTCAGATGGATTCACTGCAGTACAGGTTTTGGGGTGCTGTGATGATGCTTAACCGGACGAATGTTATTTTTGGTGTTGAGTTGGTCCACAGATTTGAGGGGGAGGGCAGGGAACATTTAGAGGAAATGGGTGTTGAGAACTCCACCTATCAAACTCCACATTCCTCTTCTGTGCCCTTCTGTCCAAGTTCTGGAGCTAAAACGTGAGGACAGTACGAGCACAGAGGGAGGAAAGTTACAACTAGGAGTAAATCTACAACATTAACTGGAGGGTACTGAATTTACGGCACTGAAGCTGAAGGGTAAGAAATTACTAAAAGCATCTTGAGTATTGGAGGATTGAACACAAACGCTGACATGCCTGCATGTCATTTATTTTCTGAAAGAAATATTTTGGTATGATGCAACTAATGCCTCATGAGATGTAAATAACAACCAAATGTAGCAACATGCAAACAAAAGACTCCTTCATGATATTGTTGAATGTACCTTTTTTTGTTTTCCACGTGACATGCTTGCATTTTCTGGGACTCATTTTTGCCTGAGTTCTGTCTGAGCCAGGAACCTCAAACTGTTATATAAACCAGATGTAGTAGTAGTAGTATGTAATCAAACACATGCCTCTCTGAGTTGTCCACAATCTAACAGCAACAGTGATTTCACTCTATGGGCAGAGCGGGGTGGGAAAGACAAACATGTACAAGGCGTACTAAACCCACTCCTTGAAGTCTATAGTGGACATTTGAGGTGAGGTTATTTGGGAAAACTACATGTCTGTGTCTCTCCTTCTTACCACAGGCATATGTGCACCAAAACGCAATATTTTAAAATTTTAATCATTCTAAAAAAATGCACTTGTTTTGTGCATGCACCCTTTCTAATAGGACTTGGAAAAAGAAAGCAGCCAATGCCATCTTTTTAGATAATTCTTTTCACAATGAATAGTATTCCTTGTATTATTTTTTAAATCTAATTTTTCCTTTGTCAGAGATCTGTCTCTTATTTACTTTATTAAACACTGTATCTTGGGGAACCGAAACCCAAAAATGAACAAATCTAATAAAGTGACTTCCCCTTGTGTAATAACTGATGAAAGATTGGAATTGGAAAAAATCATGAGTCAATGTCATTCAATAATCTTCTGGTTATTTGCCTTTATCTTATTTAGCCTTGTATTTGTTTTTTTGCTCAGATTATGTTATATTTAATGTTATACTGTTTGTACTTTGAGAGCTCAGTTACTGAAATTCTTTGTGTGTGTGTAAGCATACATAGCCAATAAAGCTGATTCTGATTCTGATTCTAACGCACACAGTCTACCATGTTGTGGATCAGTGAGGAAAGTGTTTGAATATTTTTATTTTTTATTTTTTATTTTTTACTGACCTTCACTTTGTCATCCATTGTGCTGTCGGTAAAAGTGTGCGCCCTGGTTCAAAAAATGTGCACAATGTGTGTTAGACTGTTGGTACATAGTGTTTCCTACTACAAGTTTGTTAACAACTCTTAAGATTACAGGGAGCTGCTGTTCTGATGTAATCCACGGAGACTAGACAGTAGTCCCCCTTGTATTGCATGCTTTAATGGGCAGAGATTGTCAGTGCAGATGTTGAGATGCATGATGGAAGTGCTCAGAGGAAGACAGAGAGTCCCCTGTTTCAGGCCAATTGTCTCTTTTAAATGAAAAGGATAAATGAATTCTTGCTCTGACTATTCTTCTATGTGGAACCGTCTTGACACATGAATTTCCCAGGCTTACTGTTTTGCATAATCATCCTATCATCTTAATCAATAACAGGGCTGTTTGTACACAGGATACCAGACTCTTACCTCATCTCACAGCAGCCATGGTGTGTCTACTCATATCCATAACTGTACTGCATTTGGTCACTCTGGCCATGCTCCTCACTGCCACCCTGGAAAAGGTGAGGCACATTAGCTAAAATGTCACAGCCTATGTCGACTCTTTTGCTTCAGTAGATGTCCATATCAATTCTTGTCGCCAAACAATTAAATAAGTGAATAAAATCCTACTTTCTTTCACTTTACAGTGGTGGGTATGGGAAGATTCTAAAATCTCAGACCTCTGGTTTAACTGCTTCCATGACAACGCCACAGACACCTGGTTGTGTGCTACTACAGATGACAGCGGTACATTTTCATAGTATTTTTCTACATGCTTGCCTGCCTACACGTGCATGCCAGTTTTTGTTTATTTACTGGTCATATTTTGCATAGTTAAATGATTGGATATTTCACATTAGTTATAAAGCTTTTGTTTTTCTTTCTATCTGGTTTACTTCTACTCTGACCTGCTCTCCCAGAATGGCTGCAATCTGTCCAGGCCCTGATGATCCTCTCTGTTGTCTTCTCCTCAATCTCCTTCCTGGTTTTTGTTGGTCAGCTGATCACCATCTCCAAAGGAGGACTCTTCTACTTCACAGGCCTCTGTCAGGCCTTTGCAGGTGTTAAGACGACTTATTCTCTCAAATCTTAACAAAAGATCAAAACCAACAGTTAACATTTGGCACACACATAGCCTAAGTCTGATCTAATGTATATCTTCATACACTTGCCATTTCCATGTTATCCTGTTCAGGATGTGCAGCTAAAATACTGTTTTGATGTCTGTGTTGTGTCTTAAAAATCTTGGCTTCCTGACATATCAATTTCACTGCTTCTCTATTTAAAAGTATGTATATTATAATCTCCAGAGAAATCTAGCCATAATTCTAGTTACATCATCAAACTTGATTATTCATAGTTAACATATAACATTAGCACTCAGCCACCAACTAGATAATACTATCGGAAGCAAGGAAGTATCTAAAAGTTATTTCATACCATTTAGTAGTGGCACTCAATACAACTAGAACGGTCCATATTTTCAGCCGATGTAAGATCAGCCAAGGTTAGTGTAATAGTAGCGTTGGCTCTTTTCAAATGGAAGCAAACTTTTTTTTGTTTTACATTGAAATATGGCCAAATGACAGCCTGGATTGTAAATATCAGTTGTCTTTTCAGCTGCTCATATATCAGGGAAATATAAACCTTTCATGATGATGTATGGGAAAGATAATACATTTATACTTAAAATGCTTTAACCTTTCTTATTCTTATATTATATTATTTTTCTTTTGTTCTTAAAATGTTCTCCAATCTTACAGGTCTCACAGTCTTTGCTGCCTGCCTCATCTTCACCTTCCACAGGAAGGAAATCTTAGGTGACACTAGAGACCTGAGCAAAGGACACTTTGGCTACTGCTTCATCCTGGCATGGCTGTGTGTCCCAATCCTCTTTGTCAGTGCAATCCTGTACGCCCACCTGCGCAAGAGGCAATGAGAAAAGAAACAGAGAGGAGGGGAAAGCTTCCATATTAACCATATTCAGGGTGCCCTGACATCAAGCTTTGGGTGGGAAGCTTAAGAGCTGTTAAAATAAAATTGTGTGTTCCTGGTGACACTTTGGCTACTGCTTCATCCTGGCATGGCTGTGTGTCCCAATCCTCTTTGTCAGTGCAATCCTGTACGCCCACCTGCGCAAGAGGCAATGAGAAAAGAAACAGAGAGGAGGGGAAAGCTTCCATATTAACCATATTCAGGGTGCCCTGACATCAAGCTTTGGGTGGGAAGCTTAAGAGCTGTTAAAATAAAATTGTGTGTTCCTGGTTGCAAGTTGTTAAATGTAAGGAATCTATTTAATACAGGCAACTGGTCTAGCCTCAGGACGCACCACCAACTGAGAAATGTGGGTCTCAGTTGGTGGTAAGAAATCATGACCCAAATTTCAGTTTTTTCAATTTTTCAACCAATGAGATTTATTTATAAAGTAAACCTGCATTTAGGACACAAAACATGTGACAGAACAAGGACACAGAACAAACATTTTTTTAAAGATTTCTTCATAGACTTTTGGACACTCGGCAGGCACACATTTGCGACGCATTGAAAACTGCTCTGCGACCCACTCCTCAGTCCCGACCCACCAGTTTATAACCACTGTTCTAAAAGTTATTATTTCACCACTACTTTATTGTACAGCAACCGGAAAGACAATTTAAAAAAAATAATTCAGACGGCAGATTGTATTTATTTAACGATTTTCAAATGTTTACTTAACAAGAGGAAAAGGAGGATATTTCTAGTTATCTAATAAGTGGTTCAATGCCAATGTAACAGCTTAAAAAAGGTTTACTACACAATAGAAATCAGGACATTTCTAGCTAACATAAGCTAAGAAGTGGGTACATGCTAAATATATTTTACCATATCATAGGAAGGTTTAACTTTCTCAATAACAGCCATATTAGCAAGGAAGTTGAATGCTAACATTCCCTGTGTGTAAGAAGCTAATGGGTTAATTTGTGGTTTTTAAAACTTAAAACAGCCCGATTCCCCCAAAGTTTTTTAACCTTATCTCTTCAGCTGCCTATTATTCAACAGGAATCATACTGATTAAAAGATTTCTTACGCCTAGGATTTGTATCCTAACAAAACAGTATGGTATTATTACAGCATTTTAGCTTCCCACCTGAGTGTGACGTCAAAGAAAAATGGCCTCAGTTTGAATCAAGAAAGAAAGCCAACTCGAGGACAAGTTATGACTGAGAATGAAATACTGACTAAAGTTCCACCCTACCTTGCAACACTATCTCATCTTGGTGGCATCTCTGTCTAATATGAGATGCCATCAAGATCATAACAAGATAACTAAAGGTCATTCAACTCAGACATGCTCTAAGTACATCTTCTACATGTGTGATTCTGAGATAATATTAATGTAAAGCTTGTTGTGTTTAATAGATTACTGTGGTTATGGAAGGACAACATGGCAATAGGAAGATTTTGTTATATTTGTATGCACATTTCTTTTTTATGTAATAAAAGCAATAAAGTGATTGTTGTCCCTTTTTTCTAATATAAAACATAAAGGGCTAAATCTGTGTAATGCCCATTTTGTTTTGTATTAAGTGCTTCATGTGTTACAGAGTGTAGGCACAATCCTCTGACATCACACTGTGGTTGCATAAGGGTGTGCCATCTTTGTCATTTAAGAACCTATTGTTTTTGTGGTATTCATTGTTTACTCTGGGTAAAGTCTGCTCACGCCGTTTCAAGCAACTGGTGTGCTACACTCGTGTCAAGATTTACAAACACAAGTGTTTTCAAAGACAATAAAAAGAAGCTGATGATTGCACCTAAGATAGGAAGCCAGACACAGAATTCCGTGTCGACAAACCTACCTGTCAGGCTAGACTAGTCCTAAAAGAAAACTGTGAACAACAGCCTGTAAAATAAAGTGAATATAAAACAATATTATTTGTTACAAATCTCACATACTATAGAAGTATATAGACTGAAACATGGATATCAGAAACCTTGATTTTACTTTAATGCTGCAGTTATAGAAGTCACAGAAGGGGGGGGGGGGGGGCGGGTAAGTCTATCCGTCAGCTGCTCAGTATTTCTGGAATCTGTCAGTGAGAAGGAGTGGAAGGGTTAAGAGGAGTGAAGTGACATGTGAAGGGGAGGAAACAAATGAGCAGCGACAGAACCTGTGAGACTATTAGTATTACTGGAGCCTGAGAGGTGAGTTGCTGCTGCCCAGGAGAAGGTGAGTTTTTCAAATAATGGGGCAATTTTGTGATTAAAAACTGAGCAACACTAGTGGTCACCTTTACTTATTTTAATTATCTACCTATTTCCTTAAGTCTACCAGAAAGAAGCTGCAGCAGAACATTAAACAGACTTGGGACTGAACTTCGGACATTAAACACTCTTTATTTGAGTAAGGAGCAGAGTTAAACTCATCATCAAGATTGTCAGCAACATCAAGATATCAATATTGTTGCTGTCTCTCATAAGGATGAATGAAAGACTCACTTTAACCAGACTGAAGGGTGACATGAGTTGGTGTGGAACAGTCTTGTTTTCACACTATTGGATCAATCAGTTGTTGGACCTTTGAGAGAGCACTTATTCCCAGAGACTTACCAGGGCTGCAGTCATGTCAAACTCCCAGGAGCAGAGCCTGGATGAGGATGTGGTGTTCCTGCCGGTTGATGAGTCTGCCCCAGAGTTCCTCCACTGTGAGAAGGAGCGTCAAGCAGTGGAGAGACTCATAAGTGCAGGACCAGAGGCCTTCTACAGCGCCATCGGCACGGAGCGCTCTGGCTGCTTCCTGTCATCCGAAGAGGTCAGCCAGATAACAACCTGGGCTCAGGACTATCGCTTCAATCCACCTCAGGTGCAAAGACTCGAGAATGGAGAAGAAGGCGGTTCAGACATGAAGGACTTCTGTTCAACGTACTTCCCTTCCCACTCGGACGTACCACTTCCAGACCTGGAGCTGGGCTGGCCTGAGAAAAGCCCCTGGGTTCCAAAGGGAAGTATTACAGTCCACACCAATCCTCCTGCTGAGGGAGAACCTCCTGTCAGAGAAGTCATTAGACGGCACCTACAGAAAGCCATTCAAGTATGTCAATTTGATCTGGACGAGTTACTTTTATTTTATATAGATTAAAGCAGATCAGTTAGAATATGGGCTACTGGTTGATTTTATGGTATTCCTGAGACTTTTTATTTGGACATGATTACATAAAAGGATATCGGGATCAGCACTTTTTTTAGGGGGAAAAATATATATAAAAAAAAAACATATGAAGAACTTTGTCACTTTAAATGTATCAAAAGTTGAAAGATACTTGCAGCAGCTACAATACTAAAACGTTGCTCAAAGGCAAAAGCATGAATGGGTTTTATTACTGAAACAAAACAAACAAACACTTTAACTTTCACTAACATTTATTTGGTAAATCTGGTATCTTGTTCAGTTTCTCACATAAAGAACTTCATCACTTCTGTCATGCTCTTATCATCAGCAAAAATTACAGAGAAAGGATGTGTTTTATTTAGTGACAGGACAGTTCTTGACAGTACTGTCACAGGTGTCATGGGCTAAGTCACTTATTTTATATATTGCAGGTGATTGCCATTGTGACAGACAGATTGACAGATGGGGCAATAATTGGGGATTTACACAATGCCGCCTCAAGAGGAGTCCCTGTTTACATCATCCTGAACCAAAGGTCCATTCAGGAGAACTTCACGCTCAACAGGCTCCGTCATCCGGTGAGTCACCTCCTAAAAAATTGGCACACACCTAGCAGCCATCCTGTCATATAAATTTGACATGGCAATAAAAAGACAAGAGATTTTTTATAACCAATCAATCACCACCTGTTCATCAGATCAATGCACTATTTAATGGGTCACTGAAAGTGAGTGTAGTATCACCCATATTAAAAACTTGAGACACTGCATTTGTACTCTGAAGAGGTATCTCATAAACTGCAAGAGTGTCTTTTCACTTTGCCATGTTAGGAATGTGACACGTACGTTGAGCAACACAAAGCTCAACTGGTTGCACAGCATTCAGTCTTATCTGTGTTCCTTAGAGGAGATGAAAAATCTGCCTGATATTGACAAATTAGTGAAAAGAAACCTTTTTCATGAATCCAAGAGTGTACGTGCAATTCACAGACAAAAACATGATTGATTAGAACTTAATATTCTGTTTAAGATTGGGAACCAGATTATTTAGACCAATCAGACAATTTAAAATATATATTTTATTATATTGGCATACCATGGCTGTAATCTGATGCACATTTAGACATGTTAAGATTATTTGGCAATAGAAGCAGTGTGGCTGGTTTTTAAGTCAGCCACTTTAGTCTTGGACTTGTTGTAGGAATCAAGTTGTGGAATTCTTTAAATAATGATTTGAAGAGCTGTAGTCAGACATTTCACTTTGAGGAAATGTACAAGGAGAGAATTATTAGACTGTATGAATTTGTCAGTTTGTGTGTTTTTTTGTGTGTTTTCCTCCTTATTTATGTGGAAGTGAAAGATTCTAAATTGTCAGATTTGTTTCATGTTGCCATGGTATTTGTTGCCAAGTGATTGTAATTGGACAGACCATTTAGATATTTCTTGTTTCTTTTTAAGGGCAGGCAAAATAAGATTTATTCTTCTCCCTGCTCCTTTCCGAACATGGATTGAGATCATGGATTGGGATAAAATTGTGAAAAACGATGTTCACAGAAAAGGTTGTGTGTTTTTTTACAATGAAACATTTACAAGCTGGAATGGAACAAAATCTGGTAGACACATTCATGTTATGAGAACGTCTTTGGTGACATCTATTAGGCTTTTAAGGAAGATTCTTGGACACTGTATTAATTGCCTTCCATTTCAGACATGCATTTATCCCAAAATCAGAACACATTTGAACGCCATAGGGATCAATTAAATGATAGCACTATCATCCACTCAATTCTTTTCACTACTTTGCTAATGTCAAAATGAACTGCTAAACTAATGACATTCCAATATTTCTGTACTTTGTGTTTTGTACTAATAAGCACATGCTAGCATGTTAAACTAAGTTGATGACCATTGTTAACAGGACAATTTAAATCCACTAGCCTCACCTTTACTCTATGTAGTCCATATAAGCAAACGTTAGCATGCTAAAAAGATGATGAATATTGTAATCATTATACTTGCACATGTTAGCATGCTATCACTGGCGTTTGGCATACAGTTCGACTGTCCTAAATATCACAGAGCTCTGTAAAATCTTGTTATAAAACGTGTGTTTGACATCAAATCTTTCTTACTGGTTCAACACGTAGTTGTCCATTTGGCTACACTGCACCAAGGATGAACACTTTGAATGTTATTCATCCAATTCTGGGTTTCAATTTGGGCTTGTGCTTTGGCAGAACATGCGGGTTCGTGTGCTTGGAGGGAAAACCTTCTGTTCAAGGGTAGGAAGAATGGTGGTCGGGGAAATGAAAGACAAGTTTCTCCTGGTGGATTTAGAGACAGTGATTCATGGAAGCTGCAGGTGAGCAGTTACACCTTTCAACTCATTCTTTTACACACTTTTAAGAGTTACGTAACAAGCTGTCTCTGTTTTCTGTAGCCTCACATGGACTGACGCCCACCTGCACCGACAGCTCATCACTGTCCTGCAAGGCCCAGTCACCGACTCATTTGACAGAGAGTTCAGGATCCTTTTTGCTGCTTCCCTTCCAGTTTCAGACACATGGAGGGTTGCAGGAACTCACGTAGATGTGGCCCATCAGCTAAAAGACTTCTCACATCACAGGTTTCAAAAACAGCTCTCTTGGGAGCGTGAGATAACCAGCCCCCCTTCCCCACCTGCTGATTCCCTCCTGGACTGGGAAGCCATGGGGGTTATTCAGAGAAACTCCTTCTACCCGGACAGCCCTTTTGATCAACATGAGGAAATTTTGGTCGAGGAGATATCAATGCAGAACAACATGCTGTTTGCCAACACACCCATTGTGGACAATTTTACTAACAATGGAGACCAATCCATGGATAAGAAAAGGTAGGTCATACGTTTGATTAACTGATCATACAGTAGATGCTGTTGGCTATAGTCCAGGAAGCTGCCTTTGGATCAACATCTAAGAAACATACTTTATTCAGAATTCATTTTGCCATTGGCACATGTATAATCTCTATCAACAGATTCAACATATAATAACTGAATCTGTAGGCAAGGCAAAGCATTGTGGATCTCTGTGTCAGGTTTAGTAGTGCAGGCAGGAAGGTAGGACCCTATAAGTGCAGATGGTTACAGGCAGACTTGTGCAGTTCGTTGTATATTTGCAAGCTGGTAGGTTTTGGTAGACATACAGGTAATTAAGTATTAGGAAAAAGAATGGAAGTGGTAAAAGATAGCAGCAAAGGTAACAAGACAGAGTTTAGAAATTGAGCTGGCATATAAAAAAATGGAAAGAGTCCAGTATAGATAAAGCAAGAGTAATTACTGAAGTGGAGCCAGGTGAGCAGGTGGGCACGGTATGTCAGTACACTGGCGGGCCTATAGTAAAAGGGAAAAGGTGTGTAGATGAACAAAGTACCATTTTATGCCTTTATTTGAATAGGAAAGTGAAAAATGAGAGGAAATGTTGGGAAAGAGAGAGTGGATGACATGCTGCGAATGTTGAGAGTTAGGGCAGTGGCCATGGCCTCCCTAGAGACCTACTGGCCATCCCAGTGGCCACCCCAAATTCCTAAACTATGATTGGCGATATGCTTTGTTGGAGGTCTTTTTTTTACGAGTTCTTAAAGAATGAACCAATAAGATTTATATGTGGCCAATCTGCTGTTTCAGTTTATTAGGATTAATTTGTGTGTGCATTGTGTGCATAAATCAGTGCCCTATTGAGCCAACCAAGTCAAATAGCTCTTCCTTGCTTTTGGACTCAAACCTGAGATGGTAGCAAGCCTTTGTATATGGGGTTGGCTCGACCTGCAAAGTTAAAACGAGGCGCTGTGTGTTTGTTTCTGTTTGTAGTCTGAGTAACAGAATAGTGTTCATAGTACATATCAGCCATAATGAAATCCGTTAACTGAACTGCTGTAGTGTCTGACGGCCATTTAGCATGTGTTTATCTGTCAAAACTATATTATCGGAAATCTCGTTCCTCATTTCCTATCAATTTATGTCTTCTGAGATACTAGTCAGACTGTAAATAATGACAAATGCCGTTAACCACATGCTACACCAGAATCCCTGAACAAATTGGGAGACAAACTGTACTTTTGCGATATGTTGTATATAAAGTTTGTAGTACTTCTGTATTGTAAGACACCTACTGAGTTATTGCAAAATATGACAAATAATATGACATATATTCTGTTTTTTTAACCAGTCTTTGATTTGTGTTTCTGTTTTGGGACAACATGATTTTTATTTTGTGTTGCTGATGTTTGCACATCCTAACCTATGTCTTTTTGCATGTGACAGAGTCAGTAAAATCACCTCCCCAGTGACAAACAATATGCCTGAAAAGTCATTATCTTTCAGGTGAGTTTTACAGCCTGTTTTGACTTAATTCTGATCAAGAGTATTGGCTCTTTCCTTTTTCAAATGTTTTCACAAAACTTTCTAGGGATCCTGATTATTTTCACAGCAACACACAGCTCTCAAAAACAGACCTGAGATCCCCAGAAAGAATGAAAAGGTAAGAAAAAATATTTTGAAAACACATAAAAGAGCTTTATTTGTAACTATTATATCCAGAACTAAATGTAGTTTTTCTTTAGCAGGGTGGAACGAGACATAGAAAAAGGCCTTTCCAGGCAATTCTCTGCAGAGAAGAACTCAAATCCATATGACAAAACAAGACTTGATGATAAAGCAAAAGAGCCAGCACACATAATGGTGACACCTTCACCTTCTCAGATAAGAGAGTGCTTAAGAAGGGAGTCCTTCTTGGAAGAAGAGAGGAGAGCAAACGAAAAAAGTTCCAAAGTGGAGAACACCCCATCCTCCAGAGTAAGAAACTGACCTTTGCTTTCAAATCACTCGAGTTAACTTCGATACACAAACTGAAGAAGCATTACTCTCCTCCTCACAGAAACCTTTAATACTGAGGGTGCCGCAGTCTGAGAGCTTCAGCTCACTCAGTGACATTATGAAGAGGATTCAGCTTCAGGAGAGCTCTTCAGGTCGGCTCAGTAGAGGATCGAAGGCCGCCGTGTCAGAGATGAGCCGGTCCATGATGGATCTGAGTGTACATAACGCAGATACAAATCATGATGAGAGAGGAGTCCCGGTGCCTCGGTTCAAGGCCAGTGTAAGTGTTTATCTATCTCTATATGTTCTTGTAAAGAACGGGTGATGGAGGACAGATACTTCTTTAAAAAAAGAACAGCTTATGGAGATGTTTCTTTTCAGTTCTCTGAAGCAGAAGAACAACGCAAATCTTTTAATAATTAATGAGTAAGTCAGTTAGAAAACAAAGATTGAAATAAAACATTTTGATGTATGGCTTATTAATGATCAATTTACAGTTAGGGGACATTTTTTTGGGGGGGGTGTTAGGTGAAATTACTTTTTAAAGTAAAACCTGGATTATTATTAACATTAAATACAAAGGAACTATATTTAGTGTAAGTGTAAGCAGGAAACTTAAATGTAAGTACCAAATGTACTAGCTCTAGTAGTTCATAGTCTTTATGCTTTTGGGATCTTACATGAATTGTGTTTTTGAAGGCATTGAAAAGAGAAAGTATCTTAAATTATTTCAGAAGCAAAAAATTATGAATTTCAGTTCCTTTTAATCAATCTAAATGTATGACCCCTCGACTTCCTCTTTGCTTCCCTACAATGGGAACACTTTCAAAAACCACAACATTTTATCCCTTTTAATTATGGATGTACTCATGCATGAGGACTAATAGTAGTGAAAAATGAGAAGGCTGAGAGGGACTTTAATATAACTTTGTTGCTGTGCACTTCTGTTTCCTTGGCAGTGCTTTGACCCGGGTCACATAACACCAGCTTCCTCCCTGATGAAGAACAGGAGCGATGACTTGAAACCTTTATTATACAGGACTCCGACCAACTTTCTACCAAGACAGAGGCCTCGCAGCTCCAGTTATGCCCTCAATATGGACTGGAGGAGGTCACTTGCAGAGATGAAAAGTGAACAGGAATGAGCAGCACAAGAAATAAGAAGATGAACTATCAATGAGTGCAACATCGTCAACATCTTTGTTAAGGAAATGTGGCTGCCAGCGGTGGATACTTAAGAACCTCCGATGTGTAATTTACACTGATTAAGCCTAAAACAAACAGTGACAGTGACTCTAAAAAAACATTGTTAATAATAGGATGTGTTCTGGTTGTTGTGGTCTGTTGATTTGATGTCCCACTTAATTTGCTGTTTCACTCTTGTTTCCATGCTTTATTTCACAATGTATTTAAATGACTCAAATTGTTTCTGTAAACGCTGCTCATCATAACTACCAAAAAAGTTTAAAATAACTTGTTGTTATTATTTGTTTCATATAAAACCAACTTACACCTCTAAAAGAATAAAAACAAGAAAGACAAGATAGTGTACATTAGATTTGAGATTGACACTCTTTTTTATGTTGTTTACTTACAAAATAACATATTGAGGAATTTCTCCAAAAATGTAAAAACAAGTGATTGGTATTTGTTGTTGCATCAAAAAGAAGAAATCAGTTGTGAAGGTATAGGCCTACATCAAAGACAAATAGATCATGTCATTTCTTTTTTTCTGGGATTTTGGGAGCATGAAGTTACCATTTTATGATTTAATGTGTTTTTTTTAAATCCAACAAAAACCAATAGGCTACTTTCATGGAAGTGCAGCCTATACTTTTACATCACTGATAAATAAATCTGTTCCCCAAAGATATTAATTTGTGACACACTTGAAATAGGGCTTCAAATTTGAAATGTAGGGGGGGCTATTAACAAAATCATGAATTTGATAAGGAAAAATAAAGAAATATGTTTTTGATGAGTTCTAAATGTCTCATTGATTGATTTGATTAGCTGAGATTTGTCAAAGGTTAAGGATCAAACAATTGTCTACTAACAACTACTCTTCATCTTACCAAACATCTGTGAAACTCTTCCATCTTAGGCACATTTTATTTTAAATCTTGTTCTTTTTAAACAAAGAAGAGTTCTCAGTCAGGCCTTTGACGTTTTTATCCTCTTTTCGTTTGATTTCATTTTAAAAACACACACATCTAGATTAAGTGCAACAACTATACAGAGGCCACTTTTAAGATTAGTCATTAGTCATTTAGTCATTTGTGTTGTCTTTCACCTGGACCTTGAGTCAGTAATAAAGGTGTGGCACTCCCGTACAGTAGGTGGCGGTATGAAAACTTCACTTCCGTAGACCGCCATCAAAGGCAGAGAAGAAGTACGGAAGCACATGGTGCAGGAAATGTGTTCTACTCACTTAATTCTTGAGAGTTTTCTTTTGTTTTAAAACCTTACATTTTCACACCAAAGGTTAAACGGGTTTCGGCGTAATCGTCGGGACGTCCCGTTCAGTTTGCTAGCGAGCAGGTTTCTTCATTGCCACCATGGTTCGAGCAAAGAGGTGAGTGTGGCTGATATTGGTGTTGAGTGAGCGTGTTGACATCATCTAATGGGACTTTTACATGTATATATTTTTTTTCTGGTCATTAACAGTTAAAGGCATATGTTATAGCAATTTAAGGTCTATTACATTTTTAGCCATAACCCGGACAACAACAACTCACATCTCCATGGGACTCTGCACGACGTCACCAGATGACTAAAAGATGTAAATCACAAAGTTTTCAGCACATCTGTTTATCTTTTCGTTGTTGTTCAGGGCTATAAAGGCACCAAGGCCTAAAAAAACTCAACGATATGGAGAAAATGATCCTGAAGCGTACAAGGACATGCCTGTCCCTGATAAGGTAAGAGAGACTCAGGAGAACCTCTCACTGCGTGACTGATCTACAGTAGATCTGATCTACAGTAGATCTACTGTAGATCTGATCTACAGTACAGTACTGCACTTATTGACACTTATAGCCTCAGGTTTGTTCTTATTCTTAGGGTTGTCCAAGAAGAATGAGTAACTATTACATATATTTAAAGCTTTTGTTTTACGTCTTTACAATGACAAATAATTGGGAAGTCTCTGCATCTACAGCTTTTGTTATTGTTACTTAAAGAAACGTTTAATATAATATGATACAAGAACTGAAAATTCAAATGTTTAAGTAAGAGCTTTACTAACAGCTGAGCAGCTCTGGCACATACACATATTGTAATATTTATACTATTTATACTGTAAGAATACTTTGAGAATTGTTTCATTCCAAATGTAAGGTCTACTGGTAGCACCAATGTGTCTGAATGGTAGCAGATAGGACCAATAAGTTTGTGTTGGGGCTTCATATTTGCTTATCAGTACACCGGGTGCATCGGCTGTGTTTTCTTTCTTTCTTTAGTATCAGCATGTGACGATGTTTTGATGGTTAATCTGAATAAAAAGTAATAAATCTAAAGTTGTGACCCGTAAGATGTCCAAGTACAGGTCAATTTAAATGTGAAAATCAAAGCGAAACAGGAAAAAAATCCAATAAATGTAATCATACTACTTTTACTCTCTCAAAAGTCACATTAGAACTCGTCATCTCTCTTGTTTTCAGAGATCTTCCAGGTACACAAAGGACAAAATTGACGAGTTTCACGATGAGAAGATTGCAGTAAGTTCTCCTCATTAGTATATATATTTTTTAAAGGTATGATGTCATTTTATGTTCTGTTAACTTTTATTTGTATTTATTTTTCGCTGCGTTCCAATTTTTCACAGAAACTCCTGGCCAGTGGTGTTCAGATGGAAAGCGACGTGGAGGAACTGGATGACGAGGTGATGGGGATTACATGTTTGTTTTGGATTTACAGCCAGAATATTCTTAAAGCTCAAGAAAACAATTCAAGCTGGTCTGAAATTTACAGGAGGAAGTGATGGCCCTGGATGAATCTGAGTCAGAGGAGGATGAGGAGGGAGAGGAGGGGACAGACATGGAAAGTGATCTAGAGGGGAAAAAAGAAGAAGGTGAAGATAAAATGATCACTATGTTTATATCAAGGAGTTGATTTATTGTCTTGGTAACATGTTTAATTTTCAGGTTGTTGTTTTCCGCAGATCTTCCCAATGAAATGGCATGGGGCACCAAGAAGAAGATGTTCTATGACACTGACTATATAACCCCCAGTAAGTATCTTCACCTTCATCTACAGCAAAGATGATATTTGTTTTTCCATGGGGCGAATGATTACAACCTTTAAACTGTGTTATTATAGAAGGAAAATCCCAGGAAGAGTTGGAAGCTGAGGAACAAGAGGAGGAAGAAGAGGCAAAAAAAATCCAAAACCGTTTGGCTGAAAATCTGAGCGAGGAGGATTATGATTTAAACCTCTTTAAGGTTTGTTTGAATTTTCTAGCAGTGATTTTTGTAGAACTTTTAAGATATTTCAAACGTAATGATATTAAAAAGGTTTTATCTTTTTATTGAATGCGGCCATTTAAATGCAGGAGTTTGCTGTTGAGGAAAAGGATGAAAACAAGGCTGTAGAGAAGGAGGAGAGGATCGTGAAGGACCTGAAGCAAATGTCCCAGAAGGAAAAGATGAAACTTCTGAAGAAGGAGTCACCAGAGCTGCTTGAGCTTATTCAGGACTTCAAGGCAAAGGTAATACAAGTGTGCAACAGAAACAAACACAAACTCACATATTACAACCCCGTTTATTTTTTCCCCTAAAACGATGACATATCTCAGCTTTAAGATGGGCTATGTTGTCTATGTGCTATTTTGCATTAAATATGGAGTTTAAATATTTGAAAAACATCACATTCTCTTTTTAAATATTATAATTGCTATGTTTATAAATGCCAATATTAAACTGGTGTAAATTAAATCTGCTAATTCATGATTTTTGCAGCTCACTGAACTGAAGGATGAATTGCAGCCCCTCGTACAGATGGTCAAGGACGGGAAGATCCCACCAGGCAAGGTGAGTGCATATAGCTTCACTTCTACCAGAGCTCGACTGTGAAGCAGCTTTAACCTCAATGAACAGATGAAGAATAGATAGACTTTTAGGCATTACATACCCATATTAAAGTCTACCATTACTATGATGATGATCTTGAAATGACTCTAATCACATCAGCTGTTAAATCATTTATGGGACAGTTTGTTTCTTATTGTTTTAATGAGATGGCTTTTATTAGCGTTAATAATAATATTTTCCCTCTCTATCTGTAGAGTAAACTATGGAGTAATGTGATGATTGGGGCTATTTTTTTGTTTTTTTAGATCAAAATGTGGTTAAGTGTTTTGAAGTACCAGGAAACATCAGAACTGTCATGTAGATATAGCAAACAAGAACGTGAATCTAAAGAGCTTTTTTTCCTTCCAAAGGGCGCTGACTACCTCAAGACAAAACAGCAACTTTATCTAAAGTAAGTTGTATTGAAACGGTATTTACTTACTGCAAATGAGATCATAGTCCTTCATTGACTGACTGATAATTCTTTCTGTCTCGCAGTTACTGCACAAATATCAGCTTCTACCTGGTGCTGAAAGCAAAACGAATCCCTGCTCATAACCATCCTGTGATTGAAAGACTGCTCACCTACAGAAATGTAAGTCTAGCCTTTGACATTCACACCACATGTCTGCTACTGTTGGAACCTGCTCTGTGTGTCCAACAGTTTAACAACTGCAATCATACATGCCAATCAAACTACAACTCTTTAGGCTGAAATATGCTATACCTACATGTCTACATTAGTTAAAACCCTCTCTCTAATTGGACTTTTTTTTAATACCTGCAGCTCATCAATGAGCTGGGTTCAGTAGATGCTCGGCTTGCACCACAGTATCGCCAGCTCCTAGCAGGTGAGGAGAAAGAGAAGGCCACCAGCGGACCAGCGAAGGGGAAGAAGAGCAAAGTCTCCATTAAGAATAAAAAGGTGAGATTAGGGGATTTTTCTTCACTTGGATTCACAACTTTAAGTGAGGAAGTTACTGATGTGTCTTATGGATCTTGAATGGTAATAAGTGCTTTGTGTATTCAGGATTCTGAAGAAGAATCTGAGGTGGAGGAGGACTCAGACTCTGACCTGGACGAGGAGGCGGCTTTGCGCTTCTACAGAGAAGTTGAGCAGCGGATGAAGAGGAAGCGCGGTGGACCAGAAGCTGAGGAGTACGTATGATTGGAGTCTTTGGTAAGTGGTTAAGAATGAATCAAAAAACAGGTTCCTAAATTGTCATTTTTGTTACAGGTTGGCGGAGAATGAGGAAGAACAGGAGGAGGAGGAGCCAGATCCAGATGCTAAGAGAGGAATAACTTACCAGGTACAGAATAAAAAACCCTCACATCCAGAAATATTATTAATTATAGTCATGTGCTCCCACCAAACTTTACTCAAAAGGCTGCTAAATTAAAATTAAACACTCATGGCTGGATTTATATTTACCAGCCATGAATTGATGATCTTAGTCTCTCAATGGTGTTGGTCTCCTTTGACTAATAAAAATTGGAGTTTCAAAGTTTTTGATCCTATAGGGGCGCCATCTGCTGTAAGATTTTAATAATACGTGTTAAATACATCTATACAACACTATGGACCATAGTAAATTAATTTGCTTCTGTCCATAATTAACTTGAAGATAGAAGTGTCTTTAAATATTTATTGACTGTTGCATTCTTACCCCTTTAGTGCTCAAAGATGCATCTTTACACAGATATTTTTAATACATTTCATTGTATGGATCCAATTTAATACTACATTCACTCCATGTGTCTAATGTTATCCTTTGTCTACTGAACAGTTTTTTTTAATTGTGTCTCTTACGCATTCCACAGATGGCAAAGAACAAAGGTCTCACACCAAAGAGGAAGAAGATCGACCGTAATCCCAGAGTCAAGCACAGAGAGAAGTTCAGACGAGCCAAAATCCGCAGAAAGGGCCAGGTTTGTATTAACCAAATAATGAACATGCTTCCTGGGGGACTGTCATCATTATTATTATTTTATTTAGAGTAATGCAGATAAGTAGGAGCATATTTCCAAGATTGACATGATTATGTTCTTCTTCAGGTCCGGGAGGTTCGCAGGGAAGAGACGAGATACAGCGGAGAGCTGTCTGGTATTCGTGCCGGCGTCAAGAAGAGCGTCAAACTTAAGTAACCAGGAGAGAATCCAAAATCTGCTGCCAATTGTAGCCGTGGTATTAAAAAGACACCATTGGATTGTACTTTTAAATGTTTATTGGTATTGGTGACTCATGTAGTAAAGCATACAACTAAATGAATCAACTGTCAGATAATGATTTAAAAAAACAAAATGTTTTTCTGTTCTGATCATTTGAACGTAAATAAACATATTACAAACTTTTAATAGACTGTTTATGTCCCTACACAGACACAGCTTTTTTAATTTATTTACGGTATATAGATATATATAATAGAAATCTCTGAGGTCCATTTTGAGAGCACAATTAAATGACAAGGGAAGGCATAATGTGAGTACAGTTCTGATGATAACTAAGATTATTCAACCCAACAACATACTGCAATTACAGTAACGTCTCAGCTAAACAGGCTAGTATGACTTAAGCCAAGTACGGGATCAGATAAGAGAGCAGACAACTAATGCTGTGTGGTTGACTCAAACATGCAGTGTAGGTAACTAAAGGTCACCCCCCTTGTTGGCTTATAAACTTGTTGTGTGCCAAAGTCAGGTTGCTGACTATCCTCTCCTCTATGTCTACCTCATTCCTCATGTCTTGCTCTGAGAGGATCAGCTCCGCCTTACTCTCACGGGTCACCACCACCACGTAACCCCTTCTAGAGTCCAACACGTTGGCCACCACCGCCTGGTGCCTGTAGGTGTCCAGCGCCCGTCGAGCCTTGTCCAGCAGGATGGTGGCATCTGTCTCCAGTTTAAATGATATGACGAAAGCCTGTGGCGCCCAGTCCTTTACGAGCGGGGACAGGATCTTTGGGACCATGTTCAGGCTGAGCTAAAGGGGACAAAATAGAATCTTATGATTAATAATAAGGCTAAGAGTCTTTAGCGACACTAACAGCTCTTTGAAGCAGCCTGTGAACATAGTGATAGTATATTTTGTTTTCATCTCCATTTAGTGTTTTAGCATGCCAGCATGTGCTGACTGGCATAGCTAAGGTTAATGGTTGTATAATAAGTTCTGCATGTATTTAGGCAGTCAGTATATAAGGAACCTACGAGATGCTGGATAGCTTTGATGTCATGCACCCTATGTACAGAGGCTAATCTCTGGAATTTCAGCCCAACTCAAATCTGAACACTAAGAAAATAAGTCAAGATCTTTTGAAAACAACCAGAAATAACTCGTTATCGTGGGAAAGTTCAGTAAATAATACGTGTTGATGCATGTCCACTTAAGGCTACCATAGATATAAACGCAGTAGTTGTTGACCAAAATGATGGAATCACTGCCGTATCAACTAACGATGCATTCCTTAGAGCAACAACCCTTGCATTGCTCAAACTCAAAGGAAAAATCTTGCATTTAAAGAATTTTTTATTTTCTTATTTCACTCACTTGAAGAGGTCCATTGGAAGACTGAATTTTGTGTTCCGGCATCTCGGATGCTGGGATATAGAAATCAGACACAGCCGCAGCCAAGTAAAACATGGCCTTGGCTCCTAGGTGCAGAGTAAAAAAAACAAAAACGAGTTATAAACATGGCAGATCAGAGCGAAAACATCAATCTGAACATCTCTGTTAGTTTGTACCTATTGTATTGAGAGACTGAGCTGCTGCTTTGAGAAGGTGCAGATACTCAGACAGAGTGCTGAACTCAATGGGCAGAAGGAGACCGCCTTCTTTCACTTCCTGGTATCTCTTCAGCACTTTGGCAATGTTAGGAAGCACCTGCTGGTTAACCACCACGTCACCGGAGTCACGAGCTGCTCCCTCTCCACTTCTGAACGTCAGGGCATCCAGCATGTTCATGGTTGAAAACATGCGTGTGTAAGGGTAGAGGGAGCGATGTCTGTGTAGGAAGATGACGGCGTAGCCCGAGTCTATGAAATACTCTGCTGAGCAGGATCCTCGTCTGCCGCTGCTGAAGTTATCCAGGAAGCGAACAGTGCGTGACTCGAGAGGCACTTTGGTGCCTCCTGATGTGATGAGAACCACACCGCGTCCCGCTGCAGCATGAAGTGTGGCGAAGGCAGTCATCTTCTCTTTGACCTCCTCCACGTGGGAGGGAACAGCAAATTCTTCAGCCAACTTCCCGTCAATGGAAGACATCCTGGGTTCAGCCATCACCTGATCAGAGTGGGCATCAGAAGGGAAGAAGCAGAATAGAAACCGATACAGGCACTGTATGGGAATTGTTTTTATTACAAGAACGTATGTAGTGATTTAGGAGTCTGAAGGGAGCTCTGAGGAGTTTGGAGAAGAAAAACTGGAGATGCAAAATAAAGAATAGTACAAATTAGACACATTTTTCGCCAAGTAAAGCATCACATTTAACCCTGGATGCATAATAAACCATAGACAAGGCTTGAGTTTGCGACATGCTTACTCAGTTGTCTGAACATTTTTTGAAACAAACCAAGAGCAGACATAATAAAAACAATATAAACTTTTTATCAAAAAAGCTGATGATGATGATAATAGTAAAGCTTTTTTTTTTTTGCCGTGGAGGGAACCCTTGTTATGAAGCTTAGGAGACTCATATCAGATTCTAAATATCTCAACTACATACTGGAAAATTAAATCTGCACTAATATAAGTATCTGTATATGTGTTGGGTAACAAGTAAAGCACGGAGATGATTGAAGCAGATAACAAATATTATGCACAAACAGTGATGTATTTTTTGTTTTAGCTGTTGAACTGTACTTTGTTCAATTCACATTCAAATAAATGTATTTATCCGTTAGGAACTTCATTAATAACAGTTGTTATGAATTAGCGTAAATGACAGAAATAAAGATTGATTGATCAAAACGAGTCAGAGAGGAAACTCCATATAGTCCTTGAAGTTGACACAACACCTGTCTTAAACTGTTAAAGCCTTAACTCAATATAAAGATCATAACAAAGTCATTCTCTCTGGTCAAGACTTTAAAAAGTGTTTCTGAGAGTCACAAACTATTAAATGCTTTCTGACACACTATTGTTTAGTGTTTGGTTTTAATCTGAACACAGAAATATTTGGTTTAGGCTTAGGCTACTTGGCTTATTTGTTGAATTTCAGTGGGATTAGAAAAAAAAAAAAACATGATCCAGTGGGCAACAAGGAATGAATTAAAAGGTGGCATACCAAACACTGAATACACATGAATATGTTACTGTACCCTTACCCAAAAAACTTGGAGTTGGTGAACCATTGGCTGTATATACCTGCGTGGTTACTGATTCACATAAGGACCTCAGTCTCTTTAATTAACTTTAAAGCATATACTGTATATTTCATTGACCCGCTTAATTCAGTACTGAAGTCAGGTGAGACAGGTGCCCTTACACTCTCCTGCAATCAAAACAAACCAAAAAGCCCCTCGACGTACAGTTACCTACTTTTTGACATAGTTTGCCACAGAGCCATTACCATGAACGAAACGAAACACTATTTGCTGATCAAAGTATTTAAATACACAAAAGTCAAATGTCCTACTTTATATTCCGAGGTTGTTCTCAAACAGTCGGCTTCAGCTCCTGAACAACAACAACAACTTCTGCACTTCCTGATACTACTGAGCTTCCTCATTGGTCTTTATTAATGTAGAGGAGAGCCGCCACCGCCCCCAGCGGTGACACATGGTATCGTACACCAGTTCATGCTACTGTCGTGCCGGATGAGGCAGTTAGTCAGTCACGGTACTTTCTGATATAAGGTGTCAGACTTGATGATTATAAGCATAACAATGGGGGCAGCTCGAAGAGGGCAGAGGGGATTTTTTTCTCAAAGGGGATCTTTGGTCTTGGACTGTCACTGGCCAACTCTGACTCAGAAACTGTCAGTGTTTGATGCTGATGACTGCTATGCTGAATTATATATTACTCATCTTTTTACAGTCTTCTATGACCTCTTTATTCTTGTAATCAGGTTTAGAAAAGTTGGAGCAATGTACTAATCTGCTCCAAAGGACATCAAACACTTGATGAGTTTTACACAGCTCATAAACTGTATTGATCGCTTTACTATAGGTCTGGATAATTTCATGTCCTGAATGATTCATTTTTCTAACTTCATCAGCAGCTATGGCATACATTTTGAAAGGTTCTAGCTCTATATATAAATATAAAAAAATGATTGGACCTCAGCTGCAGATAAACTGACTTTGCTGTTATCCTTTAACCATATACTTAAGTAAAAGTTAGTTTCAGTCTGATTCATAACCATTTAAAAACTCCAAACAGGATCTTCAAATGATATTGAATCTTCTGTAGAAAATTGAATGGTTGTTCTACTCAGTGTTATTGTCAGGAGAGATGATCAGAGAAGCAGAGTTTGTACCATTAAGGTTGGGACCAGGATTGAAAAACGGGAAGATTTTGTCAATGAAGGAGCAGCCGGTAATGAAACAGATAGCATTTTCATTCCTCATACATGTTTGAGAGATTCCTCCTCATATTATCAGGTTGAACTTGTTTTCCATCATCAGACATGATGAGTTTAGGATTTGCTGTATCATGATCGGGTCGCATCCACTGCATACTGCTGGATCGTCTTCATGATGGCCTCAGTGAACAGCTTCTTCACCCGTTTACTGAGCATTTCCCCCGCTTGAGTCACATCCTCCTCATAAGGTGGGGTGTGGATCCTGATTTCTGCCCAGTCTTTGGTAGTTGGAGCAGCGTTCAGTGAATGGAAGTTCTGGAGGAGTTGGAGGTGGTCTTCAGAGCATGAGAACTGCTGCATGCTTCATCTCTCTCTCTCTCTCTCTCTGCGCTCTCATTATTGAGCTCCACCGATGTTGGTTGCCTTTCAGATGAACAACATCATGTGTCTTGTGGTCTAAAACAGTGCAGAGCATGCAGGCGCACATGAGATCAGTCTTACAGAACAGCTTCAGCAGTTTGTCATGTTTGTACACACCCTGCCGGTTCTCCACAGAGTCCATCAATTGATGTCTTTTCAGACTTGAAGCTGTGAGATTAGGCTCCAGGTGAATCTCTCAGTAGGAGGCCAGATACATCAGTTATAGGACTCAAGAGCCTTCAGTTTAGTTTTAGTGCAGATGTTGCAGAAAACTTCTCCTGGTTTGGAAACTTGCTGCTCTTGGCTGCTGTTGCTGATGGCTTTCTGAGTATAACTTTCTGAAACAATTAGCCATCTCAGAGATGAAAAGTACTGATATGCATCTTGTGTCGAAAAACCTTTTTACAGATGAGACACTAACAACTAACTAAATAATCGATATTCCAGTGTTCATGGTGCACTTTTTGCAGAAGTTCTGTCCACATGGTGACTGGATCTGTGAACACATCCAGGCAGACAGAGCACAGGAACTGATCTTCAGTCAGCAGACAGCTGGTAGCAGACTTGGTTAGACTCTATGAGTGAAGCAGAAGGTGACAAATTAAAACAGGAATCAAACAATTCTGTTATTTTTGCACTGTTCTACAAAAATTCCAATGGACTGTACGATACATATTAACCCAAACAGATGTTGAGAATAAAGTGCAGCCAATTATAAATAAAGTCATAAATTGTCATTTTTCATTCCACTTTAATATTGGATGAATCAAGGTAGTAGTTTTCCTTGAGCCTTGTAAGCATCTGAGGGGGTTGAACTAAATAAAAATTAAAGACTAACCTGTCCATGTGTCTCTGCTTTCAGAGAGTCAGCTGATTCAAAAGGGAGGAAGAAGAGAGCAGAGAGGATGATGACGCAGAGAAAAATTCACATCTATGGTTTACTATTGGAGTAAAACACAAGATTTGCTTCCTTGAACTGCAGAGAACTGCAAATACTCCTAAAAACCCACTCTCTGGCACTACAGTATATTTGTCCCAGCCACAGCCCTTTCAGTTTGTGTAAACTGCGGTTTTCTGCTTCTGTTTTTTTCTATTTAATTACAGTGAAAACGACCGGCTACATGCCTTACCGAAGAAACATAATGTAGAAAGGTAGGCCTACTTTTTTTCTCTTTTTTTCCCCTGTGCTTTTCATACTTGTCACCATTTTTATTAACAGCAGTATTCTTAGCTAACCAACAGGAGGCGCTATTACACTGCAAAATACACCCAACAAGTTCACTGCATTCTTTGCTACAAGATTCACAGTTGAGTTACTTCTTTCGTCTTTGCATATGTTGTATGTTTACTTTCCTCTTTAACTGACAGACTGCGAGTTAAAATGTACAAAAACATTTGGGGATTCAAATACAGACAAATGACTCATCAATTAAAAGGCAGTCCGGTTGTTTAATTGGATAAAGATACATGAAATCCAAAAATATTCAAAAGTCAGTTTAATAGAAAACACCTACTGCTAAATAAATAAATATTTAGAATCTAGTATAAAATCAGGCCTACAGACTATAATAAATCCAGTTAACCTTGTACTATGTGTAAATGCTGCATCATTGTTGTCTACATTAAAGCCTACTTTTTGTTACTTATTAATAAGTATATATTATATAGGCCCACACACCTAAGAGTCCTAAGACTTAACTGAAATGAGCTACTCTTACGAAAAAAAAAACACAGAATGTTTTTTAAAGACCTGAACAATTATATATTTCAAAACTTTTTCATGTGGAATTAATTTAAAAATTAGTTGAGGCTGAGGTTTAAGTGAACCATCCTTTTAAGTATGTTCTCCTTCCTGTATTCCTTAGAAATAATAAAAAAATACACACACACACACACACACACACACACACACACACACACACAGACACACACACACACAGACACACACACACACACACACACACACACACACACACACACACAGACAGAGAGACACACACATGCACACACACACACACACACACACACACACACACACACACACACACACACATATGCACTTATTCTCTATTCTAACTGAGGTAGAACAAGGTCAATGTGAGTTTCGAGCAGCAGATACCTTTGAGGACACTGAGGTCACATCCTTGGTGGTTTTGTTTCTGGGAATTCATTTTGAGTTTTATGAAGTTATTTAATGTGCAGACTGAACTGTACAATGGTGAGTGATGAACTTTAAACGTGAATGCAAAAGTTTATTTAAAAAGTCAATATATTTAAATCTTGCCATTTTAAACAAAACAAAGAGCCTTCGGTATTTCGCAACAAAACATTTTTACATTCAAATTTTAGTGTAGTGAATTCTGGAGCACATGACTGCACTGAGAGTGAACTAGTAAATTATTAAGTTAGAAAACAGGAAATACCAGGAACTGATTATTTATTATTCTGTGCATTGTTAAGCACTTTAGCTACATTTTTTGTATGAAACAAAAAGTGCCATAAAAATAAAGTCTGATTTATGATTGATTTATTGATTGATTGATGTGAATTGGTGAGAGGTATGCATGAATGAATGGGTGATGGAGTGAAATTTATGAAAAATAAACCACAGAACTTGTGTCACACCCCTGCCACACCACACACATTGTGTATGTTTAATTTCTGCTAAAAACAAGGGTGGGATTTGGACAATATATATAGACAAAGATATGAGACATTTAAGTCTTTTTCCAGTGATGGATTTCAAATTAAAATGTGCATTAAGCTCCTGGGAGGAGTTTTTAGCTGATGAGGTACCAATGCAAACTAGACCATCAGGATAGACTGATTATTTATATATATTTATTTTTAATGTAGGAAAGTGCTGCATTTAAAAAAAATAATAATAATAATTTTACAACAAGAAAGCAGGATGACATTTTTCGTAAAAAAAACTTGACTCACACATGTGCAGAACAAGATTAGGTAGAGATAAGAGGTTTCACTTTGTCCAGATATGCCAAAATCAACACAAACCACAAGTTCCTCACAAGAGCTTCAATCTTGTATTTTGAAATATGTTTTGTGCTGGTAGTGGAGTTAAAAGCATCTGCATTTTTTTTTTTTACTGGCAATTCCCAAAAAACTTTACTCACATTTTATTTGTAAAGAAGACTCTTTTCATTTTTATTTTACCTGTGATAACCTTATGGCACCATTTGTAAATAAACGTTGCACCTATGGCTAATGTGCCAAACAAATTCTAGATCGGTTATCAGCCTTTTAAAATGTAGGCCTACTTATCCAGGGGGGCACATAATCTTTTAGCTCTTTAATTCATAAGAAAGATTAAGTTGATGCAACTCTTATACTTCTTGAAAAAAAACTTGCAAGTAGTCTGGACCAATAATCCATGTATTAATAAAGTATTAACATGTATAACTGTAGACTTAAAGGCTTATAGAAAGGGTGAACTCCACAAGTGTTAAAAAAAAAAAAAGATTATAATCATGCATCAAAGCAAAATTACCAAAATTAATAAGGATACATCCAAGGTGATTTTCACAATCTGGCAACCAAAAAGGATTTTTTTTATCAGCTTTTTACTTAACCATTAAGACATAAATCCCAATCATAAAACCATTCATTTAAATCTATAAACCTTTTACAAACGTTGACTTGTCAGTCAGTGTTTCCCATGTGCCCCTTATTGCCTTTGTCTTTAATTTCGTGATCTGGTTTGCCGTTTATTATTTTTAAACTATGCTCTACATTGTACGGTAGGCGATACCAACTTTTTGTACACATTTTATAATTAAAGCGGATCAATCGATTGACAGGAAAGTTCATATGTGGGTGCTGTTTCCACTGTGGGCTTGTGCGTTTGACCGCGCTCTAGTTTCTGTGGCGGCAGGCATGGTGAGCAAGAGAGAGAGAGAGAGAGAGAGAGAGAGAGAGAGAGAGAGAGAGAGAGAGAGAGAGAGAGAGAGAGAGAGAGAGAGAGAGAAAGAGAGAGAAAAAAAAATCCTTCATGTGCGTCGTCTTATGTGAAAGTAGTTCCGGGCACTTAACCCAAACGGAGGGGAGGGGGGTGGGGGGGGAGAGTCCCGGATGTTGGCTCGGCCGCCGACAGAAAGGCAAACGGGAGAAGGCGGAGAGAGAAGCTGAAGAGGGACGCCACGGCACCGCAGGCTCACCGGCGAAGCGACGGCGGCTTTCTGCACAGGACCGATAACGTGAAAAAAGCACGGGACAGTCTCGGAGAGCCTCCTGCTCGCTCGGAAGAAGAAGAGGAGCTGAAAAGGAAAAAAGGGAAAAGGGGGGGCTGTTACTCTGAAAACTACCGTCAGGATTACCGGAGGAGGCACCGTCACAGCAGCTTTCACCCAGAGTAAGTGAGCTACACGGGCATGGAAGTTGAACTGAGGCCCACGAAATGGACGACTTTAACGGGGAAGTGAGCCGTACTGAAGTTGTGGGGATTGAGCCCGGTGAACAGGGCCCCTGACACACGGCTCTCCGGTCATTGTGGCGGGGCGTGCAGCAGGGGACACATATTTTTTTTTCTTCTTCTTCTTCCCAGAGAGGCAGTGTGTGTGTGTGTGTGTGTGTTTCCCTGTGGTTCAGTGTTTGTAACATACACCCCGGCCGTGTTGCTGTGTAACTCTCCTCAAGTTGACAGCTCCTCTCGCGTTAGCCTGCTAGCACCGCGCCGTGCAACCGGTGACAACTGACAGGGCAACTTTGACAGCTAGCTAGCCAGTGTTGGCAGCCAGCTAACTTTAGCCGAGGGTTGTCGGCGCTTTTCTCCTGGGCCGGGACTACTAGACGAGTGCGTGTTTTACTCGCATTAGGTGGATATTATGACCTATCCCAGCTCTGTAACAGCTAGCGTTAGCTCGCTGTTTGGTATGTGAGACGCTGTGTGTGTCAGGCATGAAGTGTGTGTGTGTGTGTGTGAGCCCAGTGTCATTTGGCTTTCCTGCGTGCTCTGATGGTATTTGACTCACAGCTGTTGCAGTGTGTTTTCTCGTCTGTCAATCGTTTTGTTTTGTTTCACGAGTGGCTGATTAGATTCCTGTAGAAAATAATAATCCTCGTTTTTTTTTTTTTTTAAACCAGTCGACCTACATTTTGAAGGAGCAGGGGTCGTCATGTGGCTGGACAGTCAACAAGTGCAAAGCCTGTTTCTTTCAGGTGAATTTTTTTCTGCTGCTGAATATGGCCTCTAGTGGTGGCATACCCTTGTGTGTTGCCTTAAGGTGGCACAGACGGGGTTGCAGTTAAATACTTGGTCCTGTCTCTGTGTGCAAGGCATGTCTCAGGGCATTGCTTTGATGTTTCGCCAGTCGGCGGGTGATCGCACAGGACAGACTCTGATTAGTTAAAGCAACGCCTTTAAACTAAACAGCTGTGGCATTTGCGTGCAGCTGTACACAAAACAGTGCCCTTGCTTTATCCTGACATCCTTTTATTAGAGGATGGATGACTGAACTAATTTTTTTTCGCCTCGCTGTTAACTTGTGAAAGTTTTTTTTTTTCAATGGAGTTCTATTGTATTTGATAATATTTTTAATGCAATTTATTATCTGAATATCACGTATTCTCACATTTGAAAGTTTATTGTCTTCAGCATAAAAAGGTTCATTTTATGACAAAAAAAAAAAAAGAGAGAGCAAAAATTCCCCCCAAAATATCCCAATCATGCCAAACATTTCGGTTTAACTATCAAAATGCCAAAGTGTTAGTCAGCACCCACAATCAAAGTTCAGACCTGGTTTGCTTCTTAATCACACATCCTTTAAATAGCTGGCCTGTACAGCTAACTGTCTGGATCCAGAATGCAGTTTCAGAGGAAACACATGGTGGTTAAGTTTTGATGTCACTCAATAAAAGTATGCAAAGCAAGAATAGATTTGTTTTGCATATTGTCCAGAAATTAATTTCATGGATTCTTATTCTGCTTATTCTCTCTACTGTACTTTCTGTTGCATAGTTGAAACGACTATGTGAAATTCACTTGTGGAATAATTGGCATAGACAGCGGAAGTGACATTTTGCTGTTGTTTGCTGGCCAGCTGTAGAAGACATGCCCTAGAGTGCAGCCGATGCATGCCTTACAGATCGAGAGTAGAAATGAATCACAGTCTCCCATTGTAAAAAAAAAAAAAAAAAAATCCTTTAAATGCTGATAAAATAACTGCCTTATTTCAGTACTTTATACACAATATGGTTGTTCACATTTGCTTGTGACTGAAGATGTTGTGAAGAAGATTTAAATGCTCCTGTTTTCTTCTATTTTTTTAAAGATGTACATATTAACACTTTACCTCACATCGCACTAAGCAAAATAGCTGACTTTTCTTTTAATTCCTTTTCTAAAACAACATCAAGGTTTTGTTGAATGCACTGAAGAAAGTATAGAGAAGATTGCACATCTGTTTATTCACGCAGTAACCATTTAAAAGTGTGAATGGGAGGATGTGATACAGCTTCTCTTTAATGGTGGTTTCTGCCTGCAGCAGTCTTTGAGAAGCCTGTTGCCTAATGGTTTAATAACACGACACCTAGTTCTCCAAGGTCTTTCAGTGTGAGTGTTTAAGTATCCTGTAGCACCTTCATCTAACTTCAGTGTGAGAGAAATTCGTCATCATCCGCTGTATAAAACACAGAATATAGAATAACTACATGTAACCGTAAATAATGATAATGTGTTTCAAATCCACTTCAGATTGGTGGTAATACAGTTGAATTGATTAGATTAAAAGGAATAATGACATGATATGAGCCTAATTTGAAATATGCCAAGGGTCAGAACACCAGCAAACATCGTCGCCTGAATTTCGAACATGTTTTCTACTATTTGAACACAGGCTCCTCATTTTGAATTCAGGATGTGGCCCTGTGCCTAGCCCTGTCTCACTGAGAGGCTTTTTAATTTCTCCCCTTGTTGAAGTGATTATTCAAATGGCCGTCCGTGAGATGCAGTTATCAGACCCCTGGTGGTAGTTGAGCCTGTGGCAACATGAATGCCCATCACAGCCCCTCCTCCATCTCCTCCTCCTTCTTTTCCTCCTCCTCACCCTGTTTAGTTGGACAGCACCCAACAGGTACCCTCTGTGGCAACCCCTATTAGGCTGCCACAACTTCCCCCTCAAGCTGAAAACCTATTGTGTTATGCGATTGGCAGATGGCAATTTATTCATGTGGACGGCTGATATTTTTTGGCATGGTGAAGTGGTGATGATGTCGGTCAAAGGTCTCTGTTTAGTATTTCTATGAGGACTTTTCTTTTTTGGTCTGAATCCAAAATGTTTCAATTCATCTCTCAGTTATTTTTGGTTGGAGATTCTCTGCACTTCATTGCCCATCATCTCGTCCTTCAGCACGTTTTTCACCTTGGATGCAAAAAACAACCAAAACAGGATTTCCTTTTTCTTTTCAACAGCTGTTAACTCTGCATGCAGGCTAGGCTGTCCTCTAGAGCGGCTCAGGCCCAATAACCAGACAGTTTTGTAAAATAAATTCTCCCTTTTCTCTTTCTTATTTCTAGTGTGAAGTTTTACAGTCATGGAAGCAGTGTTGGTGAGCAGGGACTGGCTCAGTCTTCATTAGAAATGCTGTGCATCACTAGAATGCAGATGAGCTATGAAGCCATTCATCTGCTGGAAATGCCTCCCTGATTCCAATTTGAATCTTGTTTGCAGTCACATTGTGTGAGCCCACTTCTCCATGTTAAAGAAGTCTCTTTATGCGAGAGATCAGAGGGGGATAATTGCACTTAAGTGAACCTCATTTAGTGCTGGCCAGAGCAATTACTGTAACTGCAGTTATAGGCGCTTTTTGGGGCCTGAAGCAGCTGTCATTGAGTCTCTATAGCTGAGATATCAAATCGTGAATGGAATGACATTGGCATGGCATCATGGGAATGGCAGATCCTTGGATGGATTTAATTAGTGTATGCATCTTTTTTTGCATTGCTTCTTTTTTATCTGTAAGAAAGGAATAATTAAAAATGACAATTAGAAATGCTATTTTTTTAACTAGTGATTGAGAATAAATTATTCTCAAGGTGCTGTAAGGTGAAAAAAAGCCAGCACTCCTTCTTTAGGCAAAACCCCTTGAGCTTGAGGGAGATGTTTTATCATTAATGTTATTCAGGAGCCAAATTTTGGGTTTTGCTCAGCTGGGTGCTTTAATCTATTTTTGCTGTAAATTAATGAATTTTTAAAGAGCCCCTCGCTGGATATGGGTGGATGTGGGAATGCAGCGCGAGTTCAGTTTTCAAACGAGCCTCTTCTCCACCCCCCACCCCCTCCACTCCTCCTCACGGGATGGAGGGGAGCAAATTTACTGAAGCACTACACCTTCATTTTTTATTCATCCAGCAATACTCTGCCTAGTTCTCCACATCCCACCTCCTCCTAGTCTATTCAGTTGAATCTGTCAGGCCTATATGCTCGTACCATGTCCCGGGTTGGAGTTGGATGTGGACATGAATCAGTGAGGGGGGCATGTGGTGTTTAATTCTGCTGCCTAATATCATGGGCACATTTGCTCAGTTACTGTACATGTTTTTATCCGTGTAAGTAGTTAGCAATTTATTTCCTCAATATGAGTAATCAGGGCTCTTCTCTACAGGGGGGACTACTGTAACTACCCACAGCAGAGCTTGCTGGTTAAGTTTAGAAAGTGTAGGAGAAAAGAGTGGTTTGGGGTGGGGTGCAGATTTGCAGACTGTTATGGATCTGGTGTTGAACGGTGGTTTCTGAGTCATATTAACCTTACAGTAACAAGAAAGCAATACATTTAATGTCATGTCTATTATAAACTATTCTACATTTGATCTAATCTTCTTCTAATTTTTTTGTAAAAGTCAAATATGTGTTCAGTGGTTGTATTGCACACAATTTGCAATCAAAATCAGGACCTACAAATCCCCTCTATTCAATGGGAGTTAATAAGAGTTAATGCAATGTACACCGCTGTGTCATTTGAGATTTTACTTATTCAGGCGTTGATGAATAACCAAGTCCTCCAAGAATAAGCCTAGCTTGACTTTTCAGTGCCTTGAAGGATTTAATAATTCATCATATTGTGTGCTTTGTCCTTGAGTTTTGATAGGCCCACAGTATGAGCCTACTTCTCATAAGCTTTTTTGTTCTTAACTCAGTAGACGCAATTGATATGCTTATATGATTCACACTCTTAGGAGAGTTTGGAGCTATGTGCAGGAAGAGAAGCTCTCTAAGCTGACACTGCCTAAGTAATAAGTGCGGAGCTTTCTTCAGAGCATTTGGTATCTGTTTTAATCATTACAGTGGCTCAAGTGGCGGATAGGAAATTCACTTCCAGGTAAAGTGGAAGCATACCCAGACACAGTATAAATAT